AGTAACGCTACAAACAAAATTACCCTTCAAATTTTTACTAGGCAATGATAACAATAAAGATCTTTCTTTCATCTTCAAAAATGAGTGAAATTAAAAACACATTAAATTGATATATTTGTTTCATCCTTTATCAAAGGCTTTGCGCTTCTATTAAAATATTTCATAATATTTTAGTATAATGACAGGCTCTTCCCCTGTGCCCTACAGGGTGCAGATGTAAAAGAATTCGAAGCAAAATTATAATAAACACCTCAACTAAAAGGTCACAAAACTAGGAAATAAAGATTAAAAAATATAAGGAACGACATGCCTTTTTGAACATTTTAAGAAGATACACGTTCAGAAATGACTACGCTCTGTAGCCAGACTCAGTATAATTTCTCTCAGTCTCTCTGCCGAAAAAATCAAATGCCCCGTCCCCAGAACAAGTGTACTCCATCAAACATTCCATGCCTATTGCCCGCACTCCCTCACCGCGAGATTTACTTGATTTGATAGGTGCATCAAAACGTCGACTCCGGGGTCGAGGAAAACAACAGAAAATTTAAAGAGAAAAAAGAACAATGGACTGTCACCCAGAGTCGGCGTTTTAGTGACAACCTAGTAAATTATGGTTTCTTTTAGGGATCGTTCTGTGGTGCTCGGTTGACGGTTAAATTTCAGGCCGTTTGACGGCTGAACGTTAATTAACCCCAATGAGCACCCTCAGCCCTACATCAAATCAAATCTCTCAGTAGTATTAATCAGCTGTATTCAAAGAAACTTACAAGACGACTTGACTGTGATTCAGAACCTGCCCTAGCTCGCTATTACCTGGCTTAATATGCTCCTCATTTACAGATCATGACTGTACGTTTCAGATGTGTTTCCTTGACATAATAAATGGGCCACTGTTTTCTCTAGACTAGACAGATTATCTGCATCTCAGACGGATAATCTGGTTTTCCTAAACCGAACCTATCCTACCTAGCTACCTGGCTTATGCTTCTCATTTACAGATCATGACGGTGGTTTAGATGTGTCTCCTTGACATAAATTGGCCGGCTTTTTTCCTAAACTAGACCGATTATTTATCTCAGACGGATAATCTGTTTTTCCTAAACTTGTCTAAACAAACGGATTTATCACATGTTATAAACACTCGCCCCACGGTAAGGGAATTCGGGAAGTCAGTGTTTTTTTCCATATGGAATCCGGAATCCCACTAAAATTCAAATTCCACTGAAAAAGCTAATACTGGAATCAAGTACCTGGAATCCGGAATCCACGGGGTAGAATCCACAATCCAACACCGTTTTAAATTCCTTACAATATAACACATTGAGCAAAATTTAAAGTCACACGGATTATCCCTGTCCCGTTTCTACATTAACAAATGGATTATTATACAAGGATTAACCTATGGAAAACCCTTTTAAGACGGATAACCCGTCTCCAGTGTAAAAACGGCTAAATTACTTGCATGAACCAGAGAAATTTCGATTTACAAATTCGGTTTCATCAACAAGGATCGCCTGATTCCTCAAAAACTCACCCTTCTTTCCAAACCTAAGCTAATTATAAAAATTGACAGATATCAATATCTCCAGCTCCGATATACTGAGCAAAACTCAGATAATTACCATGAGGGTGATCTTGGTTTGTTTGGAAAACGCAGATAAACTAATTCATGTTCTTTTCAACTGCATCTGTCAATATCTTGGATAAATTTGCTCAACTCTATTTTCTTGGAAAAGTTTCAAAAGATAAAGCCAGAATGGCACGAATCAGCCATACGGTCTAGAGCCTTGTTTTTCATAATCGGAATCTTGGAAAACACAGACAAGAAAGCAAAACTTCCGAGCTTGGAGGAGTTAATCACAAAGAAAAGTATTGAACTTTCCATGCGTCAACAAGTGGAACAAAGGTGTAGAAAGGTACATTGCACATTTTCAGTTATTCTGGGACAAAGTGAAGCGAATATGCCGGACTCAGTGATAGGAAAAATTGTTCTTATTTTCTCAGCCATCCTGGATATTCAGAGAAGTCACAAACTGGTCAAAAATGATAATAAATAAATTGGAACTATCCTGGTCCAATATTTTACAATTTTTAAAGGTAAAAAGGTTTAAAAGGATCGAAACCTTAAAAGATTCGAAACTCTGAATCTTGTGTGTGTGTGTGTGTNAACTCTATTTTCTTGGAAAAGTTTCAAAAGATAAAGCCGGAATGGCACGAATCAGCCGTACGGTCTAGAGCCTTGTTTTTCATAATCGGAATCTTGGAAAACACAGACAAGAAAGCAAAACTTCCGAGCTTGGAGGAGTTAATCACAAAGAAAAGTATTGAACTTTCCATGCGTCAACAAGTGGAACAAAGGTGTAGAAAGGTACATTGCACATTTTCAGTTATTCTGGAACAAAGTGAAGCGAATATGCCGGACTCAGTGATAGGAAAAACTGTTCTTATTTTCTCAGCCATCCTGGATATTCAGAGAAGTCACAAACTGGTCAAAAATGATAATAAATAAATTGGAACTATCCTGGTCCAATATTTTACAATTTTTAAAGGTAAAAAGGTTTAAAAGGATCGAAACCTTAAAAGATTCGAAACTCTGAATCTTGTGTGTGTGTGTGTGTTTTTTTTTTTAAATTTAATAGTGGCCGTGCAGACCCACACGACACACACACACACCTTATATTGATTGACATATCAGGCTGATAAAAGCATGCATTTATATTAGAAACGAAAAACGGGAAGCTGATAGAAGAAAGGAAGGAGGGGAAAAAGAATTAGCAGTGATTATACAATTCTCTATACTCCAGTACTAGTAGCCAAGCCTTCCTAAATATGGGTAATTTAACTGGTGACTATAAAACGCAAGAGACAAGGCACAACTTTCGCAGATTAAAGTCGCTGTAAATGTTATCTTTTATCACCGAGAGCTATAAACTAATGATCTTTCTCCCCTTCAGTGGTTACTTGATAACGTCGTACCAAATGCCGGGTAAAAACAAATGCTTCCAAATTTGGTTGTGTTAGCCTGTGTACACAGACGCTGCCCGTCCCTGAAAAAAAAATGGAAAGAGATGAGGCGGCTTTTCACAGATCTTTCACAGACTAGGTTGTGTCAGGACAGAAGATCTAGGGAATGATAAAGAACTATAATCCTTGAAAAACAAAACTTCCGGTTGCCATTCATAACGTCCGGGCGTTCTCTTTGCTTTCGATCCTCTTGTACATTAATTATCATTATTTGTTTTTGCTTTTCTGGTTTTTGTTCTCGTAAAGCGCCTGACCGCCGAAGCCATTGAGGGGAATTTTTCTCCCCCACTGTCTGTTCGTAATTGGACCTACCACCCGTTAAAGAAAAGCGCGCGGAGAGCGCGCGCGCATAGTTCAACTCACAAAGACAGCCATTGAAACGTAAATGCACTACGCTAACTAGCGGGCGGGAATGGCTTTTGCGTATTCAGCCTTGTCTAAGGATCTCTATTCTTTTTACACTGCCCACATAAATACTTGTGAAGAAAATGTCTTCACCGACAAAGCAAGTTAGTGTCCGCCGGCTACCCCCGCTTCCAAATCAAATAACACTACGCAATCTGAAGGAAAATGGAAACCCGACCGAAGTCGCACAAACTGAAAGCCTCAAAGGAAAGCCTTCAGGAGGTAAGGAATTGTTTTTATTCATTTTTCTGAATGTCGTACGATAAGTGCAGGTTTTTGCCCTTGGCAGTAACTGATTTTTTCTTGAGGTTTCATGAAGTATGTTTATATTTTTCTCACAAGTACACCATTTAAGTGAGGGATGTAACTCAATTGACAGCTCGCCGCCGTGACATGAATCAAAACGTTTTAATCTTCAATGATACTTGAAAGATTTGCCTTTACAAACTCTCTTTGAGAAAAAAATATATATATCCGCGTTAGCTGAATTGCATCGCATACCAAAGAGGAACGATGGGATAAAATTACAATGTACTGTAGGCTTTATTACTTTTAAGTTTAACTGAATTTTACAGTGAATTTCTCCTTCTCCAGTAATGAACCGGACAGACCATTAATATGTTAACCTTTGAAAATGTTATATTCAGATCAAAGCCGGCCGGAAGAGAAACATTACTCTTATGTCGATTATCTCGACATTTTGTCGCTGTCAGTAGAACGGTAAAACCGTTTTAATTGCATGATTCGCAAAAATCGAGGGTCGTATTTATTATTAGCTTATAAATCATGTAAGCTTAAGGTTATGATGTTTTCAGCTTAAATGCCGGTCACACACTTTTCAGAGATTCGGGAGCTTTTCTTTCTTTCCCCGTCTCTATTTTTTTAATCAATTTCTTCGTGGACGAACTATATCTATGCAAATTTACTATTACTCAAACGCGAGACAAATTAACCAAAAATCAGTATGACCTGTTTATTAGTTGAATTTACAAAAAACAAAATTTCATGACAGTTTCGAAGGGTAAAATAATTATAATAACAACTTGCTTGTATAACATTGAATTGCCAAGAAAAATATATTTTGCGGAGATTTTATTCTCGATAATAGAAGTAAAATAATTTTAGCAACAGTCATTACTTATTTATGGCTAACAAAACTTCTAGCAACCTCCATAAATGCATGTCTAATACGTCCGAATTGTATAAAAGCAGTCTAAGAGCGGCGGCAGACAAAAACATCTGGCAAAGCTTTGTGAAACATCGGAAATGGAATCTTGTTAAACCCGGATTGATTACTTTTCTTTAGAAAGCTATTTGAAAAGCGAATTGTAAACTTTTTGTGAAGCAACACACAAGACTACTTAGAACAAATACCTTTTAGACGTAAACCGGAAGTTACCTTGAGTTAACATTTCAACCATTTCCGGTTAGTTATACTCTGTTTCAATTTGGATGTCTACGATTTAAAACAAATCTCTAAAAGGATATAGCTACATCATAACGTGACGAACCGGCAAAAGTAGTGAATCAAAATTAATTCACTTTTAGTCAAAATAAGAGAGGCATCCTGCCAAGTGTGATATTAAAATGAGAGTCTCATGCAGTTTTCAATATTCTACTCATCTCAGTCAGGGTCAGGCCAGCTGCTGGGTGATGGATAATCAAAAAATCACACACTCAACTAATTGCTTCAAACTTCAAATTAAAAATTAGAGCAATGTGCAGTTCCAAGGTGGTCATGTAATTTTTTTTTTGGTGTTGTTTTCATTATCATCTGATTACTCCATGATAAATGGTTGTCTCACTTTTTTTTTTTTCAGTTAATGTAAAATTTTTCAATTTTTTTTTTCAGCATTAAAGCTGTGTTCTCTAGCAGTGCATGTTAACAGATTGTAATAAACATTTTTTGCTTAAGATGGAAGAATGAAAAAAAAAGGTCAAAATGTGTATCGATCATTTCTTATTTCATTATTAAAAATTGAAATTGAATAGAACAATAGCAAATTGAGCCAAGCATAAGCTGAGATTTTCCTCCAGTTTTATCAGTTTGAGAACAAAATAACAAGTCATTTTATTATTAATATTTTTATGATCAAATATTATTATTTTTGTTATTGTTATTACTATTATATATAGTATTAGCATTCATCAACATATTTATCATTATCATTATGCCTAGGATACTTGGTGCCATCATTCCCTCCTTAATGTAATTAAATGTCCATTTACACTTCTAGTTTACAAGTGTAGCCATTGATTCAGAGACTGAAAACAATAGCTACACTTGTAAATTACATTTGTACAAGTTTTACTAACTTGACCCCAGCACTTTTCACAGAATCCTTCCTGACCTCAGCAAGGTTATTCATTGTAAAATTTCCATGCAATATGGCATTCCCAACTGTCCCATTATTATTATAAAAAAAATAATAATTATTATATTATTGTTTTTGTGATTATTTTCACCAGTGGTTCTCTCTGAATTGCAAGTCAAGGAATACCTTTTAGCAAATCCTTGCATCTTGGAAGAATTTATCATGGCTAACACCAGCCAGGAACAACTTGAGAGATGGTTGATTAGAAAAACACAGTCCTTAGAACATATAACAGGAAATATAAACAATGGTATGTATTTGAATAATGTATATTAGTTATGTTTATCTTTGTATTCTTTTCTTCTTCTCTATAATTAATCGTGAAGAAGAAAATCCAAACTTAGCAAGATGAAGAACAGTTATTCTTAATTGGGTGGGTGGGTTGGTGGGTGGACCTGGGGTGGGGGGTAGGGAAGTAGGATGGGATCTTTGGGATGAAAGCTGTCTTTTAAGGGTAGTAACTTGTATGATCAGGCAATAATAAAGTATGTTTTCTCACCAATAATAATAAGTAATCTTAGGTTTAAATCAAATAGGGTTTGTAGTTGGTGTAGCTGACTTCTGGGGGGTGGGGAGAGGGCTGCAGTCATGTCTATTTGTTTTGTCTGTTTCTTTTGTTGTAGTTTATTACTTTTATTATCATTATCTTTATCAATATTATTGTCATTGTCATCATTATTGTCCTCGTTATCCTCATCCTCATCATCATCGTCATGGTCATGATCATCAAAATCATTATTATTGTAATCATAACTATGACAAAATTCTCAGATCTGTTTGGTTATCAACTGCCCTGATTCCAGCCTTAATAGGACAATTTAATTAGACAGTACGTGTCATGCCTGGGTAATTGGACAGTATGCACCATCACGCAAGCGCCAATAAATGGCTTTTTTTCACTGCTAGCAAAAACAAATTGGAATTTCTTCTCTTTTGATTTAAGAAAAGAGCCTTATATATCACAAATTTTGTTAAAGTTAGATTAATTGGTAACTGAACTTCGTGTTGTCTAATTCAGTCTCTAATCATACTCGTGATTAAACAAATCAGACTCCTGCTATGCGGTCGTCCGATTTTGTTAATCACTTGTATGATTACAGACCAAATTGGACTCCACTCAGTCCTGGTACCATTACTTATCGCTATCATCACTATCATAATCATTATTATTATTATTATATCATTTTATTTTGTTCTTTTCTGTTGATGTCATTTTTGTTTTTTCTAGTTAATTTTTCTTAAGATCCTTACTTTCTGGACAAATGCTCTCAGAGATCTTTAAGTAACTTTGCTTGGGTACTTTACTGTATAACCATTATAAGCCCTGCCCCATGCCCCTCCTTTCTTAATCACGGTTAGTTTGGGGAGGGGGAAGTTGAAAGGCGCTGCAAGGAGCACAGTTTTGTTGTGAATCCTTGAAAGATAAAGCCTTTCCAGTATGATGCCGCAGGTACAAATGGAAAATGTCAATATTTTGACTATTGACTTATGGCTTTTGCTCCTATAGAAAGTTAGGAAGCACAGGCTCATTTTTTAAAACTTTACTTGGCTACTATGAAGTCTGAACATCATGACCAGACGGCTTTTAATGCTGTTTCTTTTGTGTGTGTGTTTCTTTACAGGCCTGAGACCCTCACTCTCTAAATGGAAGGTATATATAGCCATTCGATTACAGTTCCTAGGCCTGTTTCAGGTATTGAACTTTCCATGTGCCAAATTGAGTGCTCATGTGGAAAACTCCACTGCCACTGTTGTTGCTCATGATTCAGCACATGTAAAGTTGCTCATTTGAAAAAGGGCATTAATTGTGTAAAAAGTTATCTTAATTATTGTTCAGTAATACGTTGTTGTAGTTGTTTGTTTTCCTTTTCTAGAATGGTTTTAAGGTACGAGTGCAGGTCCCATTGAGAAACTGCAAATTCTGAAAGGACTGTTGCTCATTCCCCAACCTGTGCACTTACATTTTTATAGGAAGTTGTGAAGTTGTTGGAATATGACCTGTGTGACAGGCGTTTGAAGGAAGGGAAAGGGAGTTTTTGCGCGAGACAAACGCGAGGGGCGCGGAATACGGTTGGAGGGCAGGGATTCCATGCTTAAATTACGGGTGACAAGAGGATCCCACGATCCTAATCTCCAGGTTGCTATTACGCATGCGCGGCACGTACTTAGCCAGCATCGTTTGGCCTTCCACTAAGAATGAACGGAATACACAGAACGTAGTCTTAGCTTCACTGCGAGAATAGTCACCAATTCCCATCATCTCTTTCCTTTTACACAGCCGGTTACTGGTCCTTCGGGACCGTAGTCTACCTATTTAAAATCACGTTTCCGGATCTCCCTCCCCCCCTTCGCGAAGTTTTGCTAGCTGAATTTTTTCCCACCGTCCTCCCCTTCGGCGACGTGTATCCGTCTGCCCGTGTATTTTTTGCTCATTGACTTGCCAAAATTTTCCCTAACTTATCTATAGCTCGGCAGTGAGTGGCTATTATTGCAGTGAAGATGTATTACGATCACGCGCGTTTGAACCTTCTATCACTCGTTCTGATAACGCGTGTTTTGACCATCTATCCACGAAACTTACGCAAAATACAGCGGTGGAACAAAAGCGTTTTGGGCTCATCCTCGGAGTAACAAGCTGTTAAACCCACGGCTGACGTAAAACAAAGGCAACAAAGAAACCGGCACAATAGAACCTAGAAATAAAAAAGGTGCGAAACAAAGAAAAAGTTATACCCGCGTTTTGACCCTCGATCGTTGTCTCAATCGTTGCTTTTCGTGGCGCCCCGAAAAGAAATCCAGTATAGTGTTAACCGAGCCTTAATTTATGGTTTTATTCTTGTTTCTGTTTGTTTTGTCGTTTGTTTGATTGTTTTGAATTTCACAAATTGAAAATCGCTTTTATTATTAGGGTAAAAAGCTTAAATGGCCGTATTCACACTAGAGACGGATTATCCGTCTGAGACGGGTTATCCGTTGGATAATTCGCATCAGAGAGATAATACCGTCTTAATTTACTTATCGGGGGGGGGAGGGAGGGGGCGGGCGAAGTACAAAAAAAATATTCGCGCCAGGGAAAATTAAATGAAAAAAATTCACGCACGCCAATTAATCCTAAAAAATATTCATGCTATGCCCCCCAAAAAATTAATACAAGGAATTTGATAACGAAAAAAAAATTGCTGCGGCTCGAAAATTCCCCTTCCCCTCCCCACCTCCCATAACTTTTCTAATGGTCCGTCCCTTATCCATCTGTTTTTCTGTCAATTTTGACGGATATTGAAGATGTATTATCCGTCTCAGACGGATACTCCGTCTCTGGCGTGAAAAAGGCCAATGTGAGTTTAATGTTAATATCATTATTTGTAAAGGAGCTAGTATTTCGCCATTGAAATTCAAGATATATCGGTAATTTGACTTGAACTGTTTGTGTTTGGGCTGCAGTTCTGTGTTCATACCGATAAGAGGAAAATGCTTCAACAGCTGACAAGAGACATCAATCAACAACCAAAGAAAGTCAAGGTCATGCATGAGCTGGTCAAAAGTGTTGCAGCAGGTCAGGTTACTTTCTTTCCTCCTTCCTATGTAATCCTCCGTTCGTTCATTTGTTCTTAACTAAGAATACGTGTATCGCAGAAACCCTGCGATGCTCGAGGAGGGTGGCCCGTACAATTTTAGGTATCAGAGGGTGGGAAAGAAACAGAGTAAATTGTGATTGGGGAGGGAGGGAGGTACAATACCAGCTCTAAAATTGGAAGTTGAGACACACTTTAACTCCTCTTGGTTGAGGTGAATGCGAACCCAGTCTCTGCCAACATTGATTATAATTCTCCCCATATCGGCCTTCATGAACAGTGTTGTTCCTGTTTTATGATAATTACGTTAGCACGTCATCGGTGAACCAATATGTGTCTTTCTTTACAGACACATTACTTGTACCTCTTACCTTCTGTTCTTGTTCTTATGCACGAAGTTTGTTTATGTTTTGTTAAATTCCTTTTTTTTCCCGTCAATCTCGTTTTAATAAAGAATTTGCTCGTTTTGCAGCCACTCATGCAAACACGCATTCTCTTTACTTGGTTGACAAGAACGGACGAGTAAGTGTTGATCAGATACAATTTAAATTCGAACGCGTGTAGTCTGAGAAAACAGCCGTCATTTCGCAATGTCACCATTGGCTTTCCCCGCGAAATGACGTCCGAGGAAAGAGCGCAGTAATTCCATGCTATACTGATGCCTTGTCACTATTGCCTTTGATTGGTCATTCCGCGTGAGAAATTTGCTTCAACCAATCAGAAGCATTGCCTGGATCTGGGTAGTGACGCTTCATGAGTATGGAATTTCTGTGCTCGTTCCTGAGGCGCGTCATTTCGTGGGAAAACCAGTGGTGGCGACGCGAAATGTCGGCTGTTTATTCAGGCTATTGCCTTTGATTGGTCATGCTGTGTGAGAAATTTGCTTAAACCAATCAGAACCACTACCCAGATCTGGGTAGTGACACGTCATCAGTATGGAATTTCTGTACTCGCTTCTTAGACGTCATTTCGCGAAGAAACCAGTGGTGGCGTCGCGAAATATCGGCTGTTTACTCAGGCTAAAACACATGTAACAATTCAAGCTGTTGTAGCAAAACTGAATGCAAGGCTGGGAGTACGGCAAAAGGCTGATTTATTTGAGGCCAATATTTCGGCCAACAAATTAGACAAAATTATTGCCAGCCTTGCATACGGTTTTGTTTTAATTCCCACTTCAAGTGACTTCTGGCAATAGCGTCTCTACATCAGAGATCCGGCAAGAAAGAACCATGCAGTCGTTTTTATTTACCCGTTGAGTGGACTTCTGCATTCAAGGGTTTTTACTAAGCTAGCTGTTGCAGTCAGTGACGAAAAGTAAGGGAAAACAGATGAGCCAGCGCCCATATGATTTGGAAGAGACTACTGATTTCAGTATAGCGAGCGTACGTCTTAAACAATCATAAAGCGAGACGATAAAAAACACTTTCTCAACCATAAATTACAGTGATGTCTCTTATTGCAAAGCACTGTAATGAGCTCTTAGTTCTCAATCCGTAGAATTAAGTCGCAATAGTCCATTTGTCCGCAATTAAGAATGGCGGGGTTTGGAGAAGGTGCTTTTAATTGTTATTTTTCTAAGGAGCTGAGAACATTTGGACCCTTTAGACATTTTCTCAATTGGCTTTTCCTGCGATCAAAAGTTAATCGTTTGGATTTCATTTTTCAAAGGGTGCCAACAAATAATTGATGGTTTTGGCTTAGGTAGCTTGTCCATAGGCCCTATATACCGGTATATATTTTCTCAATTAGAGATCGTTGGGCGCGCATGGAAATAAAAACCACGGGGGATTTTTTGACCGCAAGCGCTCGTTCTCGCGCTCCGCGAGGAAAAACCAGGGAAAACGTCTGTGAACGGTTTTTATTTTAGTTTTTGTTTTCTGTGCGCCCGCGTTCCTTCGCGCAAATCACGTTGTTAAAAAGGACACTGCAGGCCTAACGGCTGGAATTTGAGCCTATTATAGCTCTGGCCAGGTTTTTATTTAATCTTTTCGCCTTTGTTTGTTGTTTGTTTTTTTTTTTCACAGGACATATATCTATACTCGGAAACTAAACCAAGGTAAGATTTCAGTATAAAATATTACTCTTATAAATACAACTACTAAATGTCCTTAGTGTTAGTATAGGTTATGAGGTGCGAGTGATGACTCACTTTATCTCGACAGTGCTTGTATTTCAACTTGTTTTCGTTGTTGTTGTTTGTTTGTTTGTTTGTTTGTTTTTTGTCTTGCACTCTGCCTTACTAACTTTAAAATGCCCGCGATTCAGTGTCTTATGTTCGTTCAAACTCAAAGTTTTTTTTTTGCCGTTAAACAAAATTGGGAAACGTGCTTTTCTTTATCAACCGCAAACATCTATTGATGTAACAAAATTGTTGAATATATTCACGCCCATAATGTAGAAAATTTCACGGTTACAGCTTTAGAGAGGACCCGCAATTTCTCCATCGCAAATGCTGTAAATTTTCAAGTCATCCACATAACAACTTGGCCGTCAGATAATTGCTTGCGTACGTAACAGTCGATCGTTTCCGTTTTGGAAACGACTGCTCCGCATTGAATCACCAATCAGCGATAACTGCAAAAAATATGTGCTAAAATACAACGTATTGTTTATTTGTTTCTTTGTTAATTGCTTTATGCAATATGTTTGTCGTAGATCGCGATCTCTCTGCCGTCAAACCATTGGAAAAGGAGGCACTGTGGCCGCGTATGTGGCGGAGACTGGGCAGAGACTGTTTGTGAAGGACATTCTTGGGGTAAATTGTGGACAGCCATTAATTTTATTGTTACGTGTATTTTTACTGTCTTAAATGGTGAAATGTTTTATTTTTGAGACTCAGTCATCACAGATTTTGATAGTTGATTGGTCTTGTTTCACTCACAAAAAAATTATTTCAAGGTGATGTTGTTTCTGATACCTTTATTTCCTCGAAAATCGTGGATAACTAATGATTTTGAACTCCTTTTACGCAGGATGAAAGATTCCCTAAAGGAATTGGTATCGAAGGTGCGTACTACCCTAACAGAATGGTTGGCGGAAAGTGAATAATTGAACTGTATTCTATGGTAGATTAAATTGGTGACCGTATAAAGACTCAAACAGCGCTAGCCTTCATGTACTTCTTTCTAAAGTAGGGGCTTGAAAAGTCAATTCGTTCATAAGGAACAAGTATTACATATATCAACATACCATAAACCCCATACAAAGAAAATTGGGTGCTCCCTATGTTTTTACGAGCCCAAGTAACGAAAATGTCTACCAGCCTCTGTGACGGACATCTGTACCTTCAAGAGACCTGCTAAAGGTGTACTTCATCTCAGACTAATTGCAGCCAGGAAAGTAAATTCTAAAGAAATAAAACCTTCCGCCTAATTTCCACGGAGATTTTTGAATAATTTCTTGTGGTAGTTTTCTATCCTAACTACCTGTTCTTAATCTCTTTAGAGTGTCTAAGTAGCTCTGTTGACTAAGAGTATGAAATTAGTATCCCTGTGCTTTTGCCGTACCTCACGTGTAAAGTACGAATTGGACTGACTGAACAAGTAGCGTGTACCTATTGATTTTGGTCAAGAAAGAAACTTACCATGACTATAACACTGGTAGTCTTTACACTAGAGCCTAAATAAGCTAAGAAATATTTCAAGACAAGTAAATTTTAAAATCTTCAAGTAAAAGAAAGCTTCACACACAACGTATCTGTTTTACTTCAGGTTTATTTAAGCCTGTTTTCCCACGCAACATAATTAAGATTGATTGACATGCTTCGCATTTTTCAAAGCTTAGAAACCGCAAGTTTGCTAATTCGCTTTTAAGGATGGTTTTCAAGTCACTTGAAACTTTCTTGAATCGTTTCAACTTTCGGACTTTAATGAGATGCAAAGTAAAGTTACTTGAGATTTTACTTAGGCCTTCACACACGCATTTTTGGTTAAGTAAAACTTAGCAGCTCCTAAGTCTTACTTAACGGCCTAGTGTAAAGACAACCACTGTTTGTTTTCCAGATAGTACAGCTCAGTCCGTACTGTGTCAGCCAATTGTACAAGCTGATGGAGCTATAGTTGGTAAGAGGGCTTGTCGATGACATAGACCGCCATAATTGTTGTGTTTTCAAAAACCTATCAGTTATAATTATCCATCATTATGAAAGACACCTTTTCGTATCCAACTGAGCTTTGTTAACAACCTTTGCTTAATCTTTGCATAATGTACTAAGCTTTATCAAGAAAACATAAAAGGACTTTTCTTAAGGTAACTGGTTAATTTACTCTTTCGTACCATCACCCTACTGGGGGAAAGTGGCTCAATACGGTCAGTGATTAATATTGACAATGAAGAAATATTGGTAAAAATCGTTAGTGCTTGTTGCTTTATGCACACAGTTGAAGTTTTCTAAATCAGTGCGTGCTTCACACGGCTTGTAAATCGCTCGGATTGTTAACTGAAGTTAACACTTATTTTGCAGGTATTGTAGAGTTGGTTAAAACGTTGGGAAACTCAACTTTTGAACGGGAAGACGAAGAGGTAAATAATTGTTTACATCCAAGTATCAAGTAATAAATAATTATGTATTTATTTATTATTTTGTGTTTTGTGTTTGTTTATTTCTTGTTGATTCCATAATTTGTTTGGTTTTTCGTTCTTTTCGTTTTCTAAAATTATTTATTTATTTATTCTTGTTTCGTGCAGCAACTTCATTAATATGTAATCAGGACTAAGAAAGACTTTTTTTACCTGACTGTTTTGTCTGTTGTTTCCAGATCGTCAATAGCTACCTAGCATGGGGAAGTATTGCTATACATCATGCCGAGGTGAGTGGTTTACTGACTGCTCAGTCACGCAGTTAGTCAATCAATCATTGTGCCAGATACTTAGGTGGTCAGTCAGTCAGCCAGCCAGTCATACAGACAGACAACCATTCAGTCAGTTAGTCAGTCTGTCAGTCAGACAGTCAATCGGTCAGACAGTCAGTCGGTCAACAGTCAGTCGGTGAGTCAGTCAGTCAGAGAAACAGATTATCATTCAGACAGTTAGCCAGACGAGTCAGTCAGTCAAACAGGCAGAAATTCAGTCGAGCACCTAATAGGTCACCATTAAGTCTTCAAGGAAACAATCAGCCAGTTATCTTAGACTCATATCAACCAACTAATTTTAAATTAGTTTGTCATTTTAATGTAGTCAGTCATTGAATCAGTACAGTCAGACATTGAATCAATATGGCTTTGACCTTTCGCCCGTTTAACCAGCACTTTGCTCATTGATCAGTGTCCTGAATGTTTTTCTTTTGCCATACCTTTTATGCTGTCGAAATCTCCTTGTTATAGCTCGTGTGCGTGAGGATGTGAACTTTAAACTCCTTTGTGATTTACTATCTGGATAACTTGATAGTCATGGCTTTGCTGATTGTAATTTTGGTCATTTATTGCCATCTTATTTTAGTTCGCTTCCAAAATCGTGAACTACTCATAGCTGTCATTTCGTGCAATAAAATATTTACTCCAATTTTTGTATTTAGCTTTCCAAACAAATGCAAAAGCAGAAAGACCTGAACAGCTTCTTACTAAGTGTTGTAAGGTAAGTGAAAGACAAAAAATGAACTTGTTACAAGAGCTGAAGCAGCTGAGATATTTGCCTTGCGAGGCGCTTGCCTCAAATGTTTGGATTCCTCGTTTGTACGGCGGGCTTTAGACCTCACAAAAGTCTTTTTCAACCGACGTTTAATGAGGGAAAGCAACCATTTTTTTTACCAGAGATTTTGGAGCTGAACTAAGATACTTTTGGTGTCAAAAACATCTTTTCCTTTTAGATAAGGATTGGATACCAGTATTGTAGAAAGTTTTAGGACAAGTGAACGCTCTTCAAGAGTACTTATTTTAGACTGAGTTTAGCTTGCGAGAAAGCTCTCTATTTCGATCGGCTTGCGAGGCGAGCGGCGAGAAAAGGGGCTGATTCTCGTGATTTTTTCTCCTAAAATGAAAAGCTTGCTCTCAGGCTAGGTTGAGTTGAGTATTCAAGGCCTTTTCACTGCTAAATTTCACTGTCTTATTAGCCTGAGAAAACAGCCGACATTTTGCGACGCCACCACTGGTTTCCTCGCGAAATGACGTCTGAGCAACGAGTGCAGAAGATCCATACTGATAACGCGTCACCTGCCAAATCTGGGTGATACTTCTGATTGGTCCTAACTTGCGATCAGGCGGTTCTTCTTCCCTTTAAAAAGAAAAAAAAAACGCCTGAACGCAGGTTAGATTGGTGCTCCCGCGAGGGAAATTTGTTTCAACCAATCAGAAGCACTACCCAGATCTGAGTAGTGACACTTCATCAGCGTGGAATATCTACTCTCAGACGTTATTTCGCGGAGAAAACACTGGTGGCGTGGCGAAATATGGGCTCGTCTTTCAGGTTACTTTTATAACGATGATTTGAGTTTCTTTGTTGGTATCATAACCAAAGTTCTTTTTTGTCAGATCCATCTTTGACGAAGTCAGTACGATGGATGTCGTCATCGAAAAAATCATGGTAGGAATTGTGTTGCAAGGACAATTAACTGGAATTAATATTTTGATTAACTGTTTATTCATTCCTGAAAACCGTTTCATTCTGACAGGCGTTTGCCAAGCGACTCGTTAGTGCTGATCGATGTGCACTGTTCATGCTGGATTCCAAGACAGAAGAGTTATACGCTAATCTGTTTGACGAAGGTGATGAAGATGGTTCTGAATACAAATTCAGAAGTGGAGTGGAAATAAGGTAAACAGCAGTGGTTTTAAAACTACAAGTGCACTACAACGGCTCAACCGGAATTTTAAGGTGTTTGCAAGAATGTGCTTTGGGCAAGGAAGTGAATAGTCTAAATTATTTGCACGAAATGAGATAAAGTCTATGGAATCTTCCTAGTCTGTCAGGAAAATTATACTGTATTTAGGCGCTGGCAATATCAAACTGAAATCGTCGTGAGGTACGGTACCTGCACTAATTTGTGCTAAATTTTCTCCGAGCTTGTTACTCTTTATAAGAAGAAGAAGAAGAAGAAGAAGAACCTTTATTAATTTATACCGCTCAGGGTAGCCCCTTCAGACGCAAAAAGCTGTCTGTTATCAATGGGAGCCCTGAGCAAAATGAATTTAAAAAAACAGGGATCACAGTGCAGTCAATTAACAATTATTGGAATCGTTTATCGCAAAATATCTTGATTTGTTAGTGGCGAGCAGATCAGTTGATCTGCGAGATCAAAATATTTTGTGACTGCGACAATATTGAATTAATGCAGTTTTCATTTTAGACTTTCAAAAAAGTCCTTCTTCGGATTTGATATGGTGTGAGACAACCTCTCGCGACTTCGTCTCTCGCTCGGCCGCTTTGCGGCCTCAAAGGTTCGCTTCACTCGCTCGGAAACTCGTGAGGACGACTAGTGGCAAGTGTATTCTCATTTGTACTATGAACTCTTCTTGCCAGGTTTCCTATGGACAAAGGCATCGCCGGTTACGTAGCAAGTACATCTGAGGTCCTAAACATCAGTGACCCGTATCGAGACTCGCGCTTTAACCGTGAAGTTGATATGAAGACTGGATACATTACCAAGTCCATATTATGTGTTCCTGTCAGATGCAAAGGAAGGTGAGAAATGCACAGCAGCTGTCGGAGAGCAACTAAATCGCCCTTTTCGTGTAGACACATTGAGAATTCTGCAATGCTAATAGGTCGGAGGAGGGTCTGGAGGTCGATGACGAAAATTCAGAGTGCGTGCGAAAATGGGAACATGAAGAGAAATTATCATTTCCATATCATTATCATTATCGTTATCTTCATCGTTATTGTTATCGTTATCGTTATCGTTATCGTTATCGTTATTGTTATCGTTATCATTATCGTTTTCGTTATCGTTGTAGTTATCATTGCCATCATCGTTATCGTTATCGTTTTCGTTATCATTATCGTTTTCGTTATCGTTGCCATTATCATTACCATCATGATTATCGTTATCGTTAACGTTGTCATTATCGTTATCATTGTCATTCTTACTGTTACCATTATCATTTTTTCTCACAGCCAAACTTGGTCACCAGCCTCGCAGGTTACATATAACATTAGGAAAAGTTCTCAACTTTCCTTTTCTGATACCATAGGGAAAAACAACAGCACTTGAAGCCTTTCAACTCATTCGTTCGGTTAAGTTTTGTTTGAATGATTATGTCACGTGATGGGATCCTTTCCAACAGCGAGAATTTGATAAAAGATAATCATGCACTTATTAACCACTTTTCTATCGCTTGTTTAATAGCGTCATTGGCGTGGTACAGATGGTAAACAACAGGAGGGGATTTTTCTCACCTGAAGGTAAAAATATAATGTTGGTAACCTGCTTCTGTGCTCCTTTAGTCTCTTTAATTCCCTTATCTACATAATACAAGCCAAGTAGCTATGGCAACAGTTTGCCCCTATCTGTATCTCCGCTTGACTGTGATCTCTTGCAAACAAAGGAAATTGACAAAAAGCTAAGTGTAAATCCACCGTTAGGGGTAGGAGACAAAGAAAATTTGGAGCATCAAACTAGGTTAAAAAATCTTAACCTGAATTTATAATCGTTGCCTACAACGTATAAACGTTCTTGTTGCAATTTAAAGCGTATTGATATAGTCTTCCCACTAATCTATTACTTCTGTGTTTACAAATCATCGCACCTTTTTCGTGTGTCATGTTCTAGATGCTCGATCGTTTGAACTGTTTGCTGGTTACTGTGGGCTGGCTCTTCACTACAGTCAGGTTGGTTTATACAAAGCAAATGTTTTGGTATACAGCGTGAAATTAGCCTGAACTCATGAGCAGTTCGAAAAAAGTGAACGGAAAAGCGATGTAGATTATATTAAATCATCTACTTAGCTTTTTCAGTAACCTTTGTGTATTGAATAATAGGCCTTTCTTTCACTCCAATCCAGTGAAAGAAGTTTAAGATTGAGTAGACAAAGTCATACAAATCATGGTCAACTCAAGCCTCGAGATGGTGCCTAGTGTTATGCGGGAAGTCGATTTCGATCTGTTTCTATATTTATGTTTCTCAGCTATATTTACTTATTTATGCATTTATTTATTTATATATTAAGCAATTTATTTATTTTTCACTTGATTACAATCTTTGTTTCGCCAGATGTACAGCCAGTTGTTTAAGTCCCAACAGAAGCATCAAGTTGCCTTGGAAGTACTCACTTATCACTGTTGTGTACTGGAGAATGAAACCCGACAGCGACGCGAGGCAGTAACATCATGCGTTCTACCCAATGACTTTTACAGGTAAGAATCATGGGTTGGATATTTTCTGGCCTTTGCAACCCAATTATTAAACTGTGAAAGAACAGGTAGCACAAACTTCAAATAGACTAGTGATGATCAAAGGTTAGGGATCGTGGACGAGTTCGATGTAAACGCTCATGATAGAAGGTCAAAACACCCGTGATCAGTTGATGTGTTATAGCAGGTCCAAACAGAGGTCCGAACGCGCGTGATGAGATCATGGATAATAGAAAGACTGGATAGGAAACTGGCTGACGCGATCGGTTCCAACATAGTAGAAAAATGTGACGTCACATTATCGAGAGCCATTCAACCTCATTCGACGTTTTGCGCGTCTTATGTTTCCTCGCATATTTCACTATCTCTGTCTTCCACTATACATATTAGCCATGTTTTGAAGTAAAGGATGAAGAGGACTTGCTCTTGGAGAAGACAGTTAGAGGGTACAAAACCGGTAGAGGCAGAAGACAGAGTAAATAATTATGAAACTTGTGAGAGCGACGAATGACTCCAGTGCCCGATAATTTTATGCACCAAACGGGAAGCCTAGCTACATAAAAAGTATGCGAAAACTTACATGTATACTGCTACAAAACACCTGTACAAAAGGCACAGCCTAATTTTCTTCAAACCACAAGAAAACCGGAAATAATTTCAACCCTTTTTATCACGATTTTCACGATTTCTTTTCTACTTCAATCGACAAGCTCAGCGAGTGTCAAATTTTATAAGTTAGCAACTGTTGACAAAATGATTTTATTAGCGGTAAAAGTACCCAGCTCAAACAGGCGTTTAATTTTCCCTTCAATTTTATTTACGGACAACCAGTGACAAGAAGTCGTATTTGAGAAATATAAAAAAGCGGCGAAAAGCTCACAGCAGAGAAAGGAAATTTGCTTGCGGACCACCGTGGAAACACCGTTTCTAAACTTTTTCAAATCAATTTTCATTGTGAAGCAAGTTGTTTTGTAATTTTCAGGTATAAATATACAGTGACCCAAGGTACTTTTCAGTCAGGTCTCTGAAAAAGCGAACTGCAACTCTTTTAAAAATGTTATGTAAAACGGTTAATTGTTAACTACTAGAATACAACTGGGAAGCAAACTCTCCTGGTTAATAGTAGAACCTTCACATCTTTTTCATTTCCGCTTGTCTTCCATAAGGCTTAATAAAACCTAGAAAGGTATTATCTTTGAAATACTGACCTTTTTTGGGATGAAACAGAGTTTAGGCTTTTGTGTAGTGTTAATGATATGGATAGGGAATACTGTAAATCACCTCTGAAATAAACATAAACACTATTCCCAAAGAAAAATAGAAGCTGCTTATATATATGAAAAAAACCCGGTAACATCAGGTGTTATGGGGTTTTTGTTTAGTCTGAGGTAAGTGGATGAGGGATTGAAAAAATATGACTGTCTGGTCACATTATCATGTTGTTGAAAGCAAAATTCATACCTCAAACAAGTACAGGTATTTGTTTTATTAATTTGATTTAGAATATACCTTGGTAAGGTTTATCATCTACAGGTACATTGTTACTTTGGATCTCTAAAAAGCCGAATACAATAATAGTGCTAATCAAGTCCATCTTTGGTTTGAAAAACAATGTGATTCAGATATAGACCGTTTCAGGGAAGAACACTAACCAATTTAAACACATGACTCTGTAGCTAATACAAGCATTGACCCTCAAACACAATCAATTTGTCCCACTCACAAAGAAATAATAAATACACTTCAGAAGTGATAAATAAAGTTTCTGATCATAAATAATTTAGATGCCACCTTCTGGCTCTCATGCATGACAAAAGCAACTTTGTTGCTGTTTGATACAGAAAGATTGATTGATTTGTGCCCTCTCACAAGAGTACTTGACCACAATTTTACTGTCTTCATTGACCATGTGTGTTCAGCAAATCCTACAAGAAAGAAAAACAAAAGGAAAGCTAAAACACTGTTCAAAAAAAGAACAACAGCACTTAGGAGACTAAAAGGGGGACAAAAATGTCAGTAGGTGTTTTCCCATTGATGCAACAATTATTTATAGTTTATGTAAGGGAAAAGTACAAAATTTATTCGAGTCTCTTCAGTGCCTTCGAATACAAGCTGCGAGGAGCGACGTGAGGCGATTGTATTCACTGGATATGTAATGTAGTAGTTTTATTTTAACATTAAAAGATGAGCGAAATTAATATACTGCTTTACGAACAGTTCTCAACACAAACTTGTCGGTCGATTGGAACTTTGCACACCGTGTGCGTACACTTACTCGGCGCCAGCTCCGAACGTAGTTAGTTTCAGCCATTTTCAAATGAAATTTATGGCTGAAAAATAACAGCATTCAGTCTGTAACTATGCCTATGCCACAATTCCATCCTTAAAACATCTGTCAATCGAAGTTAAGAATAGAAACAAGAAGAAACCTTCATAACAAAGGCGTGCCAAAACAGTCGCCAAGTGTACTAAATATGGCTCTGGTAAGGTCAATTTTGGGACGCTATTTTCTCAAAGACAAGGACAAATAACACAAAACAACAACAAGAAGTGCTTACCTTGAAGGTTCAAGTGTGGCTTTGAAGGATCGCAATCGCCGTAAGACAACAAACGAAGGAAAAAACACCCACCAAAGATTAAAGTAGCACTAAAAAATCCGAAAAAGAACAACATGCAGGCAAAGAAACCCTACATTTCGACTGGTTTGCGCCACATTTTCGCCATCGTTTCGTCACAAATCTCCACTATGATGGAACAATCCAACGCCATCTTGGAGCACGAACTAACCAATTGGCGATAAGAAATCAGCCCACGTGACATAAGTTTCCTATCCAGTCTTTCTATTATCCATGATGAGATTGCGTTCTATGCATTCCATTCATTCTTAGTAGAATTCCAAACGAATGCTGACTACAACGTGCCGCGCATGTGTAGTAGCAACCTGAAAATTAGGACTGAGGACTCCTCTGGTCGCCCGCAATAAATGAATCAATGAATAGATAAATAAATGCAAAATATACCGATTCTCGCCAGCAGAGGGCTATTGTTAGAAATGTCATCTTAAAACTAACGGCCTTATTGATTTTACATCTTGTACTTATTAGTTATGTAAAGCTTATATAATTAGTTATCTAAAGAGCTCAGTGGGTTTTCATATTCTGGAGGAAGAAAAGCTGAAGTTTCCGCTTAGAAATAGCAATTTCCTTCTTGCAGGTTTGCAACCTCGATTGTGCTTGTTTATTTTTCGTTCTTTCTTTCTAAATCTTGGTTTTAGTGATTATTAGAAACTGCCGAGAGAGCGCAAACGACTTAAGCCTGCTATGAATGCTACATGTATACCCGCCTTAACTGATTGTTTTCCTTCTTTCAGTTATGAATTCAATGTCTATCAAGATGATGAAGATTTGACAAATTATTTCATTCTCATGACGACAGATTTTTTTCAGGAGTGCAATGTCAGGTAAGTTGAAAGGTTGAAATCTGGCGAAAGGTGAAATCTCAACAAACGTGGGTAATCCAGTTGACCAATCATAACTTGTAGCAAATCTTCAATTGTCGAAACAAAGCGCAGGAAAGACTTTTCAGTAAGTTAGGACTGGAAGTTTAATGTATCTTGTCGTTTGGTTGATAAAGTTGCGCGAGATTTTTGGCCAATCATAAAGCGTAGCTCTTTTTTTCATAACACTGTTTAATGTCCATCGCGTAGCAAGTGGTTGCCAGAGCCTTAAGGGCTCTTTTCCTTTCTGTTTGTTGCTGTTGGTTTTATTATTATTGTTATTATTGTTATTTTCTTTTTTCGATTTCGTTATTTCCTTTTCTTTCTCTCTTTCCTTGTTTTTCCCCCAGACTTGATCTAGACACACTTATTCGTTTCACCTTGACTGTCCGTAAGGGTTACCGTCCTGTGGCATATCATAACTGGGCGCATGCCTTCTCTGTGGCACACAGCATGTGCATCGTCATGAAAGAAGCCGCTGGAATATTTACCTGGGAGGAGGTATGCTGAATACGTTGAAGACGAAGGAGTTGTGTGACAAAATTGAGCTTAAGTCCCCCATTAGAAACTGATCACCAAATTGGGTGAAATATAAAAATAAACGGATGGGCGATCTTTTGTAATTTGCATTAATTAGTTTTAGTGTTTGGGCCAGTCTTGTTCCCAAGAATTGAAACAACCCTCAGAAAATCGTATTACACTGTATTCGTTGATATTACGAGCGTTAAGAAAAAACGCCCCTTTTCAAGTACATACACATGCCAGAATGATGGCATAAGAGGGGCGCCGGATACCCTTGCGCACACGTTTTATGTCAGTTCCGAGGCAAACCACTGCTTTGAATAATCATAACTCTGTGCTACACTCTGTCATGAGTGTAGCATCCTGTGAGGACCATGCAATGCCTTAAGCGTCCTATGTGGCGATGAATTATGAATGAATTACAGTCGAAACTAAGATAACAGACAGACCAGTCCATTCTCAAAGAGAATTCCATTGTTAGTCAGGACCGTTCACTGGGACCTGTTTCTCGAAAGTCCCGGAAATTTTTTGGGTCCTAAGGCAAATTTTGAATTCAAAACCTGTTGAATAGCGCAGTTCGTAGCTCACATACCGATTGATTTTAATTATTGTTAACTGATACTTTCATTGTATCGTTTTCAAAATTACTAATCTTGAATGCATGAACACGACAATCATAAAAGAGCTTTTCGGGCCCGAAAAGTTATCGGGACTTTCGAGGAACGGATCCAAGATCGCAACTCCAACCCTAAACAGAATGCACCGCGGTGATGGTTTTTTGTGGAAGCACTTTTCACTAGCGACGGAGTCGGAGTCGGAGTCGTAAGAGCGCTTATGACCTTGTGAAAATAAAAAATCGGAGTCATAAGTGGAGTCATAAGCTCGACGGAATCGGAGTCGGAAGAGTCGGAACGTTTGCATTTTCTTCTGACTCCGTCGCTTCGTTCCGCTTATGATCTAGTGAAAACCAGATTGTCGGAGTCGGAAGCAGAAGCGGAAGGATAAACCAATCACAATGCACGTTCCCACGCTTTGTGCGGATTGGTTTAGTTTTTCCGCTTCTGCATGCGACTCCGACCAACCAGTTTTCACTTGATCGTCAGCAGAATCAGAACGCTGTTTACAGTAGATCGTAAAGTTCTACACTTCTGATTACGACTCCTACACCGACTCCGTCGATAGTGAAAACCAGCCTCAAAATAGCTGGTTTCAGTTCTGACCCTTTGTGGGGCTCAACTGACGTATACGTTACGTTGCATTTTTATCGTCAGCTATGCGGACACCTCTCCAAGTGGAAACTGTCTTCCGGTCCTATATGCGAGGTTCGACTGTATGGACTTAGTGTCTTCTAACATTTGGCGTAGTGGCGTTTTAATATTTAACCAAACATCTTATCAGAAAAAAACCTCTTTTTTTTCCTCAGAAAATCGCGTTGTACCTTTCGTGCATCATTCACGACATTGATCATCGCGGTTACAACAACGCGTTCATGATCAAAAATAAGTCTCCACTGAGTCGTCTGTATTCCACATCGACCATGGAATGGCATCATTTTAAGCAGGGAGTTTTTATCCTCGAGGTAAGACCATACGTCTTTCCTTACAATTCTCAATAGACTCATCCACCGATGTTTTCAACCGTTTTGGTTGGGACCTGTTAGCATAAATCCATTACACCGCTGGAAAGAGCATCTTAAATCAGCCAATTTGTTAACTTTTAGAATGATTTGTTAAAAACTAACGAAGGTATAGCTCTGCAAAGTCGCGTAATTTTACAGACGTTTGTATGGTGTGGGGCAAGTTCGTGCCCTCACTATACAAACGTCTATAAGCGTCGCGACTTATTGGAGCAAAATGATCTTCGCTAGCCTTGGACGTATAACCTTTGAACTTGGTTTTAGGCCCTGACTTTTCAAGGGTATTTGCTCACTGGTCTTTTATAGCTGAAAAAAGACAAACAAACGCTTCTCTGGATGACTTGTTTTGTAACAACCCTACTGCTTTCTCATGTAAACCGTAGGAGCGAGAAGNACCAATCACAATGCACGTTCCCACGCTTTGTGCGGATTGGTTTAGTTTTTCCGCTTCTGCATGCGACTCCGACCAACCAGTTTTCACTTGATCGTCAGCAGAATCAGAACGCTGTTTACAGTAGATCGTAAAGTTCTACACTTCTGATTACGACTCCTACACCGACTCCGTCGATAGTGAAAACCAGCCTCAAAATAGCTGGTTTCAGTTCTGACCCTTTGTGGGGCTCAACTGACGTATACGTTACGTTGCATTTTTATCGTCAGCTATGCGGACACCTCTCCAAGTGGAAACTGTCTTCCGGTCCTATATGCGAGGTTCGACTGTATGGACTTAGTGTCTTCTAACATTTGGCGTAGTGGCGTTTTAATATTTAACCAAACATCTTATCAGAAAAAAACCTCTTTTTTTTCCTCAGAAAATCGCGTTGTACCTTTCGTGCATCATTCACGACATTGATCATCGCGGTTACAACAACGCGTTCATGATCAAAAATAAGTCTCCACTGAGTCGTCTGTATTCCACATCGACCATGGAATGGCATCATTTTAAGCAGGGAGTTTTTATCCTCGAGGTAAGACCATACGTCTTTCCTTACAATTCTCAATAGACTCATCCACCGATGTTTTCAACCGTTTTGGTTGGGACCTGTTAGCATAAATCCATTACACCGCTGGAAAGAGCATCTTAAATCAGCCAATTTGTTAACTTTTAGAATGATTTGTTAAAAACTAACGAAGGTATAGCTCTGCAAAGTCGCGTAATTTTACAGACGTTTGTATGGTGTGGGGCAAGTTCGTGCCCTCACTATACAAACGTCTATAAGCGTCGCGACTTATTGGAGCAAAATGATCTTCGCTAGCCTTGGACGTATAACCTTTGAACTTGGTTTTAGGCCCTGACTTTTCAAGGGTATTTGCTCACTGGTCTTTTATAGCTGAAAAAAGACAAACAAACGCTTCTCTGGATGACTTGTTTTGTAACAACCCTACTGCTTTCTCATGTAAACCGTAGGAGCGAGAAGGGAATCAAGGTAGTATGTTTTAAAACAAGGTCACCCTACATTTACATTACCTCAAAGGTTATGTGGATACTTCACGTATAACCATAAAACTTTCCAGTGCCTTTACCAATCATCGAAAGAGCAAAAGTAGTGTCTTTTCGCCGCTGTCTGAGTTAACTCACTGAAAGATTTGTTTTGGCCCGAAAATGGTGCTTAACACAGTCTAATTTGGTGCAATTTATCTCTAACTACGACCAAGATAGTCCAGGTTGTTACTATGAACTCACAAAATGAGTCCTAGAGTGGACTGAAGTAATTATTTCTGACTGTTTTGACAGGAACTGTTCTCACGAGAAGCCAAATCAGGGTCCAGATCTTTCGAAACTGCATTGTACTTTTTCTTAGTTGCGTTAGTTAGGATGTTATCATGATCTGCAGTTGGATCACCTTTAACAATCTAACTTTCATGAGATATTCCTCTGGGGTAGGTAAAGTTAAGCGTCTAATTTGAGATGAATGCTTAATGAAACAATTTTCAAACTAGTTTTAAACTGTGGTTCGAATAGGCATTACAGTGAGCTTTATTGTAAAGGGCTAAATAGTAAGTCTGTCTTAATCCCAACAGAGAGACGGTCATAATGTTTTGAGTGCTCTTTCCACGAAACAGTTCAAGGATATTCTCGAGCTTATGGAAGATGCCATTTTGGCAACAGACTTGATGTTGTTCTTTGACAACAGAGCAAAGCTTGAAGCGATTATTAAGAACGACAAATTCGGTTGGAGTATTCCTGAGCACAGGTAATGTTAAGAATCTGTTTGTTAAAGTTCACACAAGTGGCAGTCGAAACTGCATCCAAAACTCAAAGTTAATTTTTTCATTGAGAACGAAAGATCATGATGTAGTGGTCAGGACTCGAAACTTTGATTTAAGTTCTGAAGTCAGCTGCGCGAAAAACCATCGATGGTATTTAGAAGCTAACAGGGAGGTTCCTTTTCAGGAGACTTGTGCGTCGTATTTTGATGACTGCGTGTGACCTTTGCACCTCTGCCAAACCTTGGTCCATTCAAGTTGTTTCCGTCAAGAAGGTGTATGAAGAATTCTACCTACAAGTGCGTATCTTCTCTTCTTCTATTCCCATTCAAATGCAATCCTGTTTATGCAGTGCATGACATTGTTATGTTTGCCTTGCTACTTTGGCATAAAAATCCTCCCCCTCCCCCATATTCACAAGTTTTTGTTAAAAGTACGTTACAATTTTGAAGTACACTCGTCAATGTATCAGTTGCGTGCGAGCAACAGGAGAAATGAATCAATGAACAGTCCAAGTAAGCAAATTGTTCTTAGGTTATTGATTATTAACCCTCCACCCCCCCATCACGTTTTCTCTCACATCAGTTTAAAGAGTTGCGCCCACAGTGGTCACTTGATGCAAACTCGTCTGTTGAATGTTTAAGAGGTATTATTTCTTAGTGTCCATTTCTCTGAGTACTACGATATCCAAAGACGTCATTGTATATAGAATTTAAATGCCTTTGGATGAATACACCCTGTAGGATTGATCGGAAAAGTTTAATCAATATATTACGTACATGAACAGGGTGACGAAGAGAAGCAGATGGGTTTGACGCCAATTCCGATGATGGATAGAACCAAGAAACACGAGCTTCCTCAAAGCCAGGTAAGTTATTAAGCAGCAATAGAACTGATACACCCTCATCATGCTGCAGCACCTCACTATCATCATCATCATCATCATCATCATCATCATCATCATCATCATCACAGCCACTACTATCACCATTGGCATTACCATCGTCATCGTTATTACTATCATCACCATCACCATCAGCAGCAACTACAGCTTCATCGTTACCAGCAGTAGCAGTAACAGCACCACCACCACCATCCCCTCCGGCGTCGTCGTCGTCGTCGTCATCATCGTCATCATCATCATCATCATTATCATCAGCAGCAGCAGCTCCACCACCACCACCATATTCCTCATCGTCATCGTCATCATGGTCGTCTTTTTCGCCGTTTCTGACAGAAATTTAATTACTTCTTTGTCGCAGCTTCTCATCCCTACGCAGCTCCAGATTTAATGAATCCCATGTTTCTCAACCAAATAGACCTTTAAAGCTTGTTGGGTTGTTTGTTTTAATATGAATTTCAGTCAACATGATTTTACTGTGTATGCAATAGAACCCCGCCTTCCGACCACCCCATTATTATAACTACCCGTTATAGACGGCTTTTACTTAGCATTTCCTCGAAAGCCTTGTTTATGTGACCACCTCATTAAGCATTGGTCCAGCATTGGTCGCATCGAAGGCGGTTTTAAAATCAACAGTTCTCTTTTTCAAACTCACCGTATTAACCTGTATAACATGTATGCATACCGAGAGAAAGTCATATGGACTAAAGTGTGTAAAAACCACCCAAGTTCTCAAAGATGCATTCTCGAATGTAAATGGAACAATTTGATAAGAAACGCTGTCACGGTAAAAGAAAATCGATCAGCTCACACCAGTTTTTTAGGTTACACAAATTTTTCGCAACACCAGTCAGGCCCCAGTTGTTTAAAACATGTATAATGCTTTCCACCGGATGCATAAGTCTTTGAGAGAACTAATTGTGCTATTCAGTAGAAGGCAACTGAGGCCAGGTGTATGTATAATCGATTTTGAACCCATAAACTCATTCAGTCATGTTGATTTTTTATACACTCTTTTTAGGTTGGTTTTTTGAAAGGCATTGTCAAACCCTGTTACTCAGTCCTTGCTAGTGTCCTCCCAATGCTGGAACCGACACTGGACATTATCGAGTAAGTGTATGTGCATCGCTCTAACTTATCTCTCGCCTCGTATCTTACAGCAAAGCCGAAGGGAAAACCGCAAAAGTGTGGCTTCTTTCAGGGCGGGAAAATTCATCTAAGTATATTTGGTTTTAGCAATTAGCTCTTTTATGAGTAATAAGTATTGAGGCGTTTTCTCCAGTAGAATTTAATATCGATTAATGGTGTGAATGGTGTTAATGATTAAGAGATAGAGAATAAAGATCATTTTACACAGGACGATTCGCAACGACGATTTTTAGGACAACACAGTTTTGCAATATTGGAACAATGTTGTAGCCATTCCAAACAATTTTACAACAATGTACGTTAAAAATCGTCGCTGCCAATCGTCTCGTGTAACATCACCTCAAGATACTGCGCAAATATTATGTGGCTCATTCCCTGGAAAACGGAAGTCAACTCTTGCATTTCCAGCAAGGTGAGTTGATGTGAAATCAATCGTCACTATTCTCACTAATTCAAATTGAGATCTACAGCTGACTTTCTTGTAGAGGTCATGAGAGGTTATAGTATACAAGACCGTGATGCCCCATAACTGTCATTAATAGATCCGCTGCCTTTGTGGTATGTTTTCTCCCTTTAATTTCGAGTCGTCAAGATGTAGAAATGAATATTGAAAATGCCGCACGAATTTAATCGGAATAACGGTCCACTATTCCTTACTGACAGAGGCCTCTTTTCCCTTGTAATTCGCTCGCTGGGTTACAGGGGAACAGAGGCCTCTGGTAGCAGGGAAGTCCACCACATGTGTGTTGAGCTATGGAAGATTCAGTTGGAAGTAATCAAACAACTGTGTGTTATATCGGCAGTTCTCTTTGAGTCAACAAGATCATTTTGTTTGTTGTTTTGCTTGTTTGTTTGTCCTTTTCAATTTATCTTGTTTGTAAATCACTCAATGTTTGATTTTTTTTCTTTTTCAATTTTTTTCTTGTTTACTATTTTTTATTGTTTCAGTTTAAATGTAACCTCGTGGGAACGCCGCATTGCGCAGAAAAAGACCGCTGATTCAGAACCACTTCAAGATCCTGATTCAGATGACCTCAAAGAGTCTTGCTCATTCTTCGATTATTGAATACCTTATATTTTCTCAAAAAAATTTTATAATAAAATCTAGATTCAAAATCAAATTCTAAGAGTTCCACATTATAACATTTAACTGATGACACTTGAAGTCCACGATATGTCATCAGTTCTTTAAGTCATTTGTTTATTACAAGAAACTTCTTGAAGTTTTGTAAGTTGTTTCTGATATGATTTTATTCTTTCAATCCGTTTTCTCTGTTACCTTTTCTTCTTTTTTTACATAACCGGTTTTGTATATTTATTGGGTACCGGTATTTTCTATTGGCAGGTATTTTATTTAATTCTATTTGCGTAAAAAAGGTACTGATTTGTTTTAAAAGAAGCATTTTGACAAGAGCAGAATATATTATTTATTTGGTGAATGTAGAATTATTTACCTTGTTACATCTCGACACTTCTATTCAATAACCTTCACTGTACTGAACATATATAGTAAGAGAAAAGTTCGTTGCCAAAAAAGACATGTGCATATTGTGAAATTAACGTACATCGTTTGATTTCCTTGACAGGAGGGGACGTCTGGTAAGAAAGACCAGGGAATTAAGCCGTGAACTTCACTTGGTTATTTTCTGAATGGCAATATTTTATAAAGTCAAACTTTGCGAAACATTTTGATTTGTGCAAACAACACAATGAATAAAGCGACTAATAGATATATTTTTAAGTATTAACTGTCCGTTTTAATTGCGGATGAAGCGCTTCCTTTGTAATTGTACCCCCGTTCTCTCCCAGTAGTTAGCAAAAATAATTGAAGAAAAAAAAAAGCATTTCTTGGTTTATTATCCGTAGAAACCTCAGTAGGGTTGAAAGCCCTTCGTTTATCCCCAAACTCTACAGCTCCTGGTGACAGTGTAACCTACAGCGTCAAATTTCTCCCGAAACGAAGCAGATCGACAATTTGTCCATACTTGAATTCGGTTTTTAAAAGGTAAACTAATATTGAAAGAGTACATTATTCAAGATAAGCTTCAGGTTCCCGGCACTCGTTTATCAACCAGACGAACAGTTTTTTTTCCCCTCCAAATCAGATGTACTACGAAAACCGTCCCTATATTGGTGCAGTTGGTGTATTGAGTGGAGTCACTCATGTTCTTGGGCACGCTTGTGTTCGACGCATGTAAGGAAATTCGGACTCCGTAATCTGGGAAGTTTTTGCTTGTGGAATCCGAAATCTGGGAAATTTTGCTGGTGGAATCCGGAATCCCACTAACGATTGAAATCCCGAATCCAAGTTCCACTGACAAAGAATCCAGAATCCAGTATCTGAAATCAGGAATCTAAGTCGTGGAATCCAGAATCTGAGACTGTTTGAATTCCTACATTGGGCGATCATATGCATATGGGTAAAAGTAACAGTGATCCTGCTATGTATCCCAAAAGTAGTTTGTTTCACTTTTTGTCTACCAAAAGACTTTTTCTGATAGCAGCGCCTTGTGGCTGTTTGCAAAAAGAAAAAAAAAGAATCCTGGCCATAATGATCTAAACTATACCCCTAATTCACCCTGCCAGCCTATCTGAACGAACTGGCTGCTTTCTTCCAAAACATGGACTTTTTCACTTTTTTTCCAGTAAATTTTTCTAAGCTGTTTACCTGAAAGTTTAAGAGAGCAAGGATTGTATGATCCGGGTTGCGACGCCATTTATGAACTAAGTTATGTTGAGTTTCGACCTTGTTCCAAGACGTTTTTTTTGTGCGAGTAATACTTTGCTTTTACCACTCCTTGAAACCGATATCCTTAAATTTGAGCTTCTGGATACCCTACCACTAAAATCACACCAATTTTACTTGATTTTTCAGGGAATTTGTTTTTGTAAAGTTAAAACTGATAGTAGGCAAAGGAAGGAAAGCTGACCATCAAATATATGTTGTTCCTTTTTCAGCTAGATCCCCGTTAAATGCATAACTAAATAACAACACAATTTTTGTCTTTGATCTACACTTTATGAACTTTATTGAATTGTGAAAAGGATGAATATGATACAGTGTCACTCATGCAGGTTCTTTGTTCAGTCATTTTTTTAAATAAGGTTCGTGCGCAATTAAAGCATTCACCTAGTCAGCAGCTGTATAATCGATTTTGAACCCATAAACTCATTCAGTCATGTTGATTTTTTATACACTCTTTTTAGGTTGGTTTTTTGAAAGGCATTGTCAAACCCTGTTACTCAGTCCTTGCTAGTGTCCTCCCAATGCTGGAACCGACACTGGACATTATCGAGTAAGTGTATGTGCATCGCTCTAACTTATCTCTCGCCTCGTATCTTACAGCAAAGCCGAAGGGAAAACCGCAAAAGTGTGGCTTCTTTCAGGGCGGGAAAATTCATCTAAGTATATTTGGTTTTAGCAATTAGCTCTTTTATGAGTAATAAGTATTGAGGCGTTTTCTCCAGTAGAATTTAATATCGATTAATGGTGTGAATGGTGTTAATGATTAAGAGATAGAGAATAAAGATCATTTTACACAGGACGATTCGCAACGACGATTTTTAGGACAACACAGTTTTGCAATATTGGAACAATGTTGTAGCCATTCCAAACAATTTTACAACAATGTACGTTAAAAATCGTCGCTGCCAATCGTCTCGTGTAACATCACCTCAAGATACTGCGCAAATATTATGTGGCTCATTCCCTGGAAAACGGAAGTCAACTCTTGCATTTCCAGCAAGGTGAGTTGATGTGAAATCAATCGTCACTATTCTCACTAATTCAAATTGAGATCTACAGCTGACTTTCTTGTAGAGGTCATGAGAGGTTATAGTATACAAGACCGTGATGCCCCATAACTGTCATTAATAGATCCGCTGCCTTTGTGGTATGTTTTCTCCCTTTAATTTCGAGTCGTCAAGATGTAGAAATGAATATTGAAAATGCCGCACGAATTTAATCGGAATAACGGTCCACTATTCCTTACTGACAGAGGCCTCTTTTCCCTTGTAATTCGCTCGCTGGGTTACAGGGGAACAGAGGCCTCTGGTAGCAGGGAAGTCCACCACATGTGTGTTGAGCTATGGAAGATTCAGTTGGAAGTAATCAAACAACTGTGTGTTATATCGGCAGTTCTCTTTGAGTCAACAAGATCATTTTGTTTGTTGTTTTGCTTGTTTGTTTGTCCTTTTCAATTTATCTTGTTTGTAAATCACTCAATGTTTGATTTTTTTCTTGTGTACTATTTTTTATTGTTTCAGTTTAAATGTAACCTCGTGGGAACGCCGCATTGCGCAGAAAAAGACCGCTGATTCAGAACCACTTCAAGATCCTGATTCAGATGACCTCAAAGAGTCTTGCTCATTCTTCGATTATTGAATACCTTATATTTTCTCAAAATAATTTTATAATAAAATCTAGATTCAAAATCAAATTCTAAGAGTTCCACATTATAACATTTAACTGATGACACTTGAAGTCCACGATATGTCATCAGTTCTTTAAGTCATTTGTTTATCACAAGAAACTTCTTGAAGTTTTGTAAGTTGTTTCTGATATGATTTTATTCTTTGAATCCGTTTTCTCTGTTACCTTTTCTTTTTTTACATAACCGGTTTTGTATATTTATTGGGTACCGGTATTTTCTATTGGCAGGTATTTTATTTAATTCTATTTGCGTAAAAAAGGTACTGATTTGTTTTAAAAGAAGCATTTTCAAAAGAGCAGAATATATTATTTATTTGGTGAATGTAGAATTATTTACCTTGTTACATCTCGACACTTTTATTCAATAACCTTCACTGTACTGAACCTATATAGTGAGAGAAAAGTTCTTTGCCAAAAAAGACATGTACATATTGTGAAATTATTTCCTTGACAGGACGGGACATTTTGTAAAAAAGACCAGGGAATTAAACCGTGAACTTCACTTGGTTATTTTCTGAATGGCAATATTTTACAAAGTCAAACTTTGCGAAACATTTTGATTTGTGCAAACAACACAATGAATAAAGCGACTAATAGATATATTTTTAATTATTAACTGTCCGTTTTAATTGCGGATGAAGCGCTTCCTTTGTAATTTTACCCCCGTTCTCTCCCAGTAGTTAGCAAAAATAATTGAAGAAAAAAAAAGCATTTCTTGGTTTATTATCCGTAGAAACCTCAGTAGGGTTGAAAGCCCTTCGTTTATCCCCAAACTCTACAGCTCCTGGTGACAGTGTAACCTACAGCGTCAAATTTCTCCCGAAACGAAGCAGATCGACAATTTGTCCATACTTGAATTCGGTTTTTAAAAGGTAAACTAATATTGAAAGAGTACATTATTCAAGATAAGCTTCAGGTTCCCGGCACTCGTTTATCAACCAGACGAACAGTTTTTTTTTTTCCTTTCAAATCAGATGTACCACGAAAACCGTTCCTATATTGGTACAGTTGGTGTATTGAGTGAAGTTACTCATGTTCTTGGGCACGCTTGTGTTCGACGCATGTAAGGAAATTAGGACTCCGTAATCTGGGAAGTTTTTGCTTGTGGAATCCGAAATCTGGTAAATTTTGCTGGTGGAATCCGGAATCCCACTAACGATTGAAATCCCGAATCCAAGTTCCACTGACAAAGAATCCAGAATCCAGTATCTGAAATCAGGAATCTAAGTCGTGGAATCCAGAATCTGAGACTGTTTGAATTCCTACATTGGGCGATCATATGCATATGGGTAAAAGTAACAGTGATCCTGCTATGTATCCCAAAAGTAGTTTGTTTCACTTTTTGTCTACCAAAAGACTTTTTCTGATAGCAGCGCCTTGTGGCTGTTTGCAAAAAGAAAAAAAAAGAATCCTGGCCATAATGATCTAAACTATACCCCTAATTCACCCTGCCAGCCTATCTGAACGAACTGGCTGCTTTCTTCCAAAACATGGACTTTTTCACTTTTTTTCCAGTAAATTTTTCTAAGCTGTTTACCTGAAAGTTTAAGAGAGCAAGGATTGTATGATCCGGGTTGCGACGCCATTTATGAACTAAGTTATGTTGAGTTTCGACCTTGTTCCAAGACGTTTTTTTTGTGCGAGTAATACTTTGCTTTTACCACTCCTTGAAACCGATATCCTTAAATTTGAGCTTCTGGATACCCTACCACTAAAATCACACCAATTTTACTTGATTTTTCAAGGAATTTGTTTTTGTAAAGTTAAAACTGATAGTAGGCAAAGGAAGGAAAGCTGACCATCAAATATATGTTGTTCCTTTTTCAGCTAGATCCCCGTTAAATGCATAACTAAATAACAACACAATTTTTGTCTTTGATCTACACTTTATGAACTTTATTGAATTGTGAAAAGGATGAATATGATACAGTGTCACTCATGCAGGTTCTTTGTTCAGTCATTTTTTTAAATAAGGTTCGTGCGCAATTAAAGCATTCACCTAGTCAGCAGCTAGTATTCTTTGCAACCCCACCTGCAAAATAACAATAATCATTGATGTTACTTCAAAGAATGAAGAAACGTCGGTGTTTTCCCTTTTTACACAGGAACTGAATCGTTTTCGCTGGAAGCAAGTGGTCCTTCTGACACCCTAATAGTGAAACAGGGGTGGTGGTAGTTTTAGGTAGAATTTCAGTCTTGGAGTACTGGAGGTGCCTAGCATTTTAGATGTCGCTCTGTCGTATACTTCGTGTAACTGTAGAGCCGGCATTTTGTGTACGGCCAATGATAAGCATGTTGTTATAGTAAATAAATTAATGAGATGCTTATTCAGCTTATTCAGGAAAATATGATTGGAAGAGATGAAATAATATCACTGAGTTATATTAAATGAAAAGAATCACAAACCTGTTTCTAGTGATAAATACGTTTGCGTTTAGCCAGCCTCATGAGACGATCTAAGTAAGATTCCTCCTCCAGAGACGCTCTTTTCTGGAGGCTACCTGATCTGGGTAGTGAGCCAGATGGCTGAGGACCTGAAGGTGCCGGGCCAGAGGGCTGAGGGCCAGAAGTTGTCGGGCCAGAGGGCTGAGGACCGGAAGGTGCCGGGCCAGAGGGCTGAGGACCGGAAGGTGCCGGGCCAGAGGGCTGAGGACCGGAAGGTGCTGGGCCAGAGGGCTGAGGACCGGAAGGTGCTGGGCCAGAGGGCTGAGGACCAGAGGGTGCCGGGCCAGAGGGCTGAGGACCGGAAGGTGCCGGGCCAGATGGTTGAGGACCGGAAGGTACCGGGCCAGATGGTTGAGGACCAGAAGGTCTTGGGCCAGATGGCTTTGGACGGGAAGGTCTTGGGCCAGATGGTTTAGGTACGGTAGGTCGTGGAGGAGACAGCAACTTGTGAACAGCGACACCCACAAGGAAACCTCTTCTTATTTCTCCCAGTGTAAACTCTCCAACACGTTGATGTGCTTCCTCAAACTCACCAGAGTGCATAAGGGCTCCAACCGTCTTTGCCATTTCTTTGAAAAGAGAAGTAGATGAAGACAACTCAGTTAAAGCGAATGAACATTTTTACATCAAAAGTAAGGAATTCAAAATAATTTGCCCGGGACAACCTTTCATTTTATTTTAAAAAAAATTAAATTCTAGATCAGGATCACGGTGGAACCCCTTTACGAGGCTCTTATAAGTGGCCACCGGCTGGCAGCTATTAACAGAGGCCAGGGCCGGATTCCTCGAAGATAGGCCTTTCAGGAACCGGACCTTGGGGGATAAAATTTTCAGTAAACAATCGGAGGAGAAAAAAAACTTTACAAAGTGGCTACAAGTTTGTTCTTCAAGGTTTGGCTGTAGTTCGTTTGATCCCATATTTCACTATCATAACAACCAACTACTTTCAAGATATATGTCTTAAGAGCAAATTAGTAAACTAAGACTAGCCTCCCTCGAAACCTTAAGCGAAGGGCCTCTGAGAAATTTTCTACCGAGTCTTAAACACATCAGAGTGATCAATTTTTTTTTATTACACTTCTATACATGTGGGCCTTGCGTTAGATGGGGTCCATATGAAAACAACGACGAATTGACAACGTTTACATTTTAGTTAATGAAACCAGTTCAATTTTCACATGTAGCAATCGATTCTGTGTAATGCCACTGACATTCTCTTCCACGGCCCCAAAAGACAATTCTTTTAAAGTTTTTCAAGAATGCGAATGGCAATGTGATTTTTTTCTGTTGCTACTTGCATGAGCTCAGATATGGTTTATCTATTCATGTTGGGTACAACTTGCTGATAGTTAACCCTCATAAAGTAAGGTCCCAAATATTTATTCTAGGCTATGATCGAGGTAAGGAGCTACGAGAGCAAATCCCTATGCTGTAAGGTACACATACCTATATAGCGTTTATGAGCAATCCCTTGCAGAAATTGTATTTTTTTGCCAAGATGGATTGCCTGAAAAAAATGTATAAGTAAACTGCAGGGTCATTTCTCATGTGGTTCATGTACGTGGGGGCGTGTGTGTGCGTGTCCTCCAACTTTTAAGGACCTCTTTTATGTATGAAACAGTCGATAATGCTCCTAGCTAGATAGCTTTTTAAGCCATTTTTAGGTGTTTGTTTTACTTTCCATAAGTATTCTTTTTTTTCCCCCTCTCCTTTTTATTGTGGTATAAAAATTAAGTTCTGGTCTTGTCTTATCTCGTCCACTACAGAATGCTCGAAAACTGTTGAATATATAAAGTATAGCTGTACCGAGGGACAATAAGCAATCGGCTATCTTGTTGGTGTCGTTTTTTTTCCCTTTTTTTTGTCAGAAAGAGTGTTAAGAAAGAGTAATCTGAGATGATGGCATCTATTTCTACTTACATTAACGACGGTATCGGCAGCAAAGCGGACGAGTCTCACTAAAATAGGAAAAAAAATTAAATTAGAATATTATAGTAAATTTTACTGGGTTTTATTTTTAATCAGCAGAACAAGGAAGTTTTCTTTTGTCGTTGACAAAGTTTTTAGAAGCGATTAAGGGTTGATTAAGAGAAAAAGTTCCGTCGAGTAGGAATTCCAAATGAAAAGCTCATCGCAAAATTCCTTATATAATTTTAATAAATGCAAATAAGGCGTTACCTTCTTGGCATCGGGTAAATACGAGATTCAGGTATCGTTCCTTGATGCTTTGGCCTGGGGAAAGGGATTCCACTAATCCTGCAATACAAAAGAAATTCGCATTGAATAGTGCTCAAAAATAACGATGACTATATACGAGATGACAAAAAACGAATGATGGAGAAAATTATATCAGTTCATGTAAGAGAATCCAAAAGTGCATTGGATTTTGGATTGTGGATTCTTTGTCAGTGGAACCTGGACTCCGGATTCCAGATTCCTTGAATTGTGTACAGGATTGCAAAGCCCAGGATTCCGGATCTCACAGCAAAAATATGCTGCATTACGGATTCCACAAGCAGAAATTTCTCGGATTCCGGAACAGGATTCCCCGTTACACTTGGGGCGAATTATAGATACGGTTCAAAGCATAAACGGGATAGTAATCACACACCTGTTGTGCACTTTTTGTTCTTCTTGTCATAGAGAAAGGAAAGAACTTTGTCCTGAAATCCCGCTACGAAGTCAGCATCTGGATCACGTTTGGCTATCATTTCCCCAATTTTTCCAAGCAGACCTGAATGGTAGTTAAAATAACAAAGAACGGTAAAATTTACTCGAAGAAGCACATTATTACTAATCTGTCCCGGAGGTGTACTCAACAAAGTTTTATCCGGGAAAAGTCCACACTGTGCTACTGTAGGTCCAACCCCTAACCCTTTTATGTACTATATTTGAGATTAAAAAAAAATCCCTTTCCTATTTCCTAGTTTAGTTCTTTCCATCCCTTTTAACTACTGTAAATTCAAAGTCTTTAAGATATGAGCAAATCACAAAACCAAAGTGTTTTCTCGACCTTTACACGGCCATGAAATGCATCTGATAGCTCTTTTGAACCTTTTTACAACCAAATGACAAGTTTCCCCACCTTTTTATATACCTCAAAAGGTGAAATCTCTACCCTTTCATATACCTGAAGCCTGAAAAAGGTAGCCTTTTCGGGCTAAAGAAGGGATAAAGAAGTATAATTCTTAAGTAAATAATTACCATCTAATTTTACGTCACAGCCAACTTCAGTCACAAGGCCTCCTACGGCCTTAATGGCCAGTACACCAGGGTGATCTTGAATCCCATGTTCATAAGCCTTACGAACAAACGCTTCAAAGACATCTATAGCAAAAAATAAACACTGTTAATTTAAATTGTCACGTTGACCTTGCTATTTTTTGATTTTGCAAAAGTATGGAGGATATTCTTTCTACGATTATGATAGCGGCCAAGATGACAGCCATGTTGGGTGACGTCACAGGCCTCCAACAGCGCCACGATCGATACAAAAATTTACCTCATCTTTTTGACCGGATGGAAGGCTTTCCATCGAACGCATTATCGTTTGGAAATACTGCAACACATAAAAACTATAGGGAGGGGTTTCATCAACCACACCCCCTGCCCTCTTATGCTTCGGTCAAGGTATCAATTTGCGTGTACGTCCAAGGATTAAGTCAACAAGCCTTGCGCGACTTTCTGTTGTTAAAGTCAGTTTATTAAGCATTTTGCTATAACTGAAAACTGTATGCTAATGAAAAAACTAAATGTCAAACAAATTATTAAAGCAAAGATTCGACTAATCGATAAGTCATTTTAGGATTTCATAGAACCAATGCAAAAATGGTTGTTGGATCAATATTCGGTCCATGCAGTTAGCCAATGCAAACGTTCTGCAGAACTGTAGCTAGTTTGTGGGCATTTTTATTCAGTTTAGTATTGAATTCCACTTATTTTTCAATATACTGGGCATGCGCAATTTGGGTTTCTGGGAAAATGCCCACCTACCCTTCCTCTAAGCCAACATTTTGCTCTAAATGAGAAGTAAGTGTTAATGTTAGCTTAGGGGAGGGGTAGGTGGGCAGTCTCCCAGAAACCTAAGTTGATCTGGCTCCTCTACTTACCAGCCTCCTTAGGCTCTGCTTCTTCCAGAACTTTACCCATAACTGCTGTAAAATCTAAGTCGTCATGGCCTAACATGTCTAACAATCCTGTTAGAAAGAACGTGAAAGCAGTCAAGGTGAATTTGTATGGAACTTTAAAAGAACACTGAAGTATCCGAAAAACTTTTAAGGTTGGAAAGACTGTTTCGTGTGTTAAACGTACTCGTCAAAGTTGAAAGACAATTTTGACCACTTTAATTCGTTAATTGTCCCTTCAGTTTATTCATTATACTCATTTTCGTTTTCCATTTTTTAAGATAAAAAAAAAGAAAGCAAACAAACTCTCATACAGAATGATTAAAACAATGTCTCTTTAACTGACTGAGGGTAGTCTTTAAAGGCATGATTTTATTAATATACTAAAATTAAGCCTCTGAGTTCTACAAAGAAATCAGATTGATGGTAATTAAATTCGAATTTACAGAGATAACTTAAAAAGGAAGACAACTGACATTTACGGAGTTTGACGATGGATGTTTTGAAATCTTTGAAAGATTTATAATGTTCCATATTGTCTTTAAGACTTGCCAATTGACAGTCTCCCTAACTTACCAGTTTTGTTAGCAAGTTTGACAAATTTCAGCTTGATTTGTTTGCAACCTCTATGCAGTTTTATAATGTGTTCTCCAAACAGAGCTTTAACAGAGTTGTCACTTTTCCTAGGGTTCCTCAAAGCTCTGACAAACTGTCTCGCATATTCTAAATAAGGATGATAAACACAATGAGTTATTACTATACAGCTGCATGCCAGTACTCTAAAGTGAGAAAACAAAAGTAATCTTGAAGTTAAGGCAGAAACATGAAAAAGTCGATGAGGTACAGATAATAACAATCATCATCATAATCATCATCATCATCATCATCATTTTTCCAATTATCGGAGGCACCTTATATTGTGACGTTTGTCAGTTAGCTGGTTTCGATGTTAGAGTAATGGATGATTGAACAATTGATTCAGTTATGTTGTTAAAGCAAAAAAAAAAAGAAAAGAAAGAAAGAAAGAAAACATTGCGCTACAATTAAACAATAACAACTGTATTTTTCAGAAACCGGCTCCTATATTATTTACACCCTCTCAGGAGAGACATTTAATATTCTACAGATCCATATATTGTCGGAATGACCTAGCTCTTGTAAGTGGTGCATTCAGTTTTTTCCAGACTGTGTAATCAAAAGGCGCTTTCCAACGTCAAGGTTGTCAGCAAGAGAGAGTAGCATGTTTACTAAAGCTACTCCCGAGACGTCCGCACATTTAATCGATTGTTTGAAACGACTTAAAAGTGCACGCGCGACTGCCTCAAAGCAGACAATGCAGATTATGGTAATGACGATTGTTGAAATTTCTTTTAACAACACTAGAAAAACGTTTGCAGACATCTAGGGAAACAAACCTCCGAATAATTTCAAGCGTTCAACAGGTCTAAAAACAACTTCGGTAAAGTTCAAAAACCACAACGGCTGAACTGGGCGTTCCCCTCTTAGTTCTATTATTACTTAGTTTCGGCTAATTTAATGCAATTAACACTATATACGTGATACCAATTTAATAGTCAACTGCTATTAATTATACCACCTGCAAACCAGCCCAAAACAGAACTGATTTAATATTTACCTTTGCTTTGCTTGTCTCTGGCCTCTTTCAGTGTCTTGACAGCAGGAACGATTTTCAGCAACTACAATGAAACATCAGAGTTATCAAAACAATCAGCAACGATCTGTACAGTAAGGCAAATGATTCCCAGACCTCACGCTGAGTCAGCTCTATCTCAATCCTGGTTTCCATTTTAAAGGAGCTGTGTCACGAAATTCAGCCAAATTAGGTAATTACAAAATGCCGTTAAATTAAGAGAAACGTAAAAATAACCGCTTAAAACATTAAAGGAAGGTTAAAATAACACAACAGAAACAACAGATGCCACGCATGGGCATAACTGACGAAGATTGAAACGGATTAAAATTAGGGTTTTTGAAAACTGTTCAGCCCAACAGTTTTTTAAGTTGATCCCTGCTGCTTGCAACTTCAAAAATAATGCTCAGGAGACATATTTGTTAGTCTCGGATCTCTGATTTTGTCATTTACCTGTAAATTCTTTGCTTACTTTAAGTTCCATGCGATTGAGGGCAAGTAATTGGCAAATTAAACAAAATGAACTGGATTGCCACTGCTACTGAGTTTAACGGCTATGTACTTGTTAAAGTGAGATCCAACAACATTAATTCGGTCAAAAGTGAGCTAAAATTCTAGCAAAGTATTCCGAGTTTCTTTTGCGTTCTTTAAACTCTAAAAGAAAGATTTTAAAAATGATTCTATGAAAAGGAAAACATGATCAGTTCTTGGTCATAGTTCGATAACACAATTAAGATTCAGTTTAACTAGGAAAAGTTGGCCCAACGAGTTTTTAATTTTCATGTTACATTCCGCGCCGTTGCATACACTCATTGAGGGATATAGTAGTAGTAAATTAGCAATAAATAAAATGAGCCATTCTTTCGACGGTTTTTTTTTATGCCAATGTATTTTCATAGAAAAGAAAAAAAAGTGACGTAGTTCATATAATTAAGGAGCATTTTCTTGGTGATTTTTACGTTTAATCTAGGTAAGAGGAAACTGTACATAACTTACTGTGTATGAGAAAGTTTATCAGTTTAAATGAAGCTTCCGATCAGATTCAAAAGAGAATATCTTCTCTTGGGAGTATAACGGTATGAAGTTTTTCGAACTTTTTCGAAGCATATATAAAGGAAATCGTAATTTGCACCCTTTGAAATTGAGTAAGGGTTTCCCAAGAATTTTTATTAACACAAGACAATATGATCGCATAGTCTCACTGGATGAAAGCCTGGCGCGTTGAGCTAGAAAATCGGTATGGTTTGGACTGAAGATTAACCTAGTAGTAGTACCGTATATTCAGCCTTGTATTAGAGAAAAATACAGCTGGGAGCTTCCTTACCGCACGAACAGTGCTTTCTACGGCTTCTTCGATGGCACCAGGTTTCGGAAGACCGATTCCAGATCCGTCGTCATCCTCAGTTTCCCGATTTGCTCTCAAAGCGTCTTCCTTTTTAACATCAAACAGTCGAGCATTATGAAACAGATTACCAAGGCCAGCTGTGGTATCAAAACTGTATGGTTTGTTGTCCAAACGTTTTTCTGCAATGAAGAGAATTAAGCACATCAGATGAAGTAACTAAATGCCTGCTTTGTAGGATATCAGGCACAATATCAAGCACCAGACTTACTAGATTTGTGGTTATAAGTTGTCTTCGCCCACGCCAAGGCCACGCGATGCGAGGAAAGGTGCGAGGACGCGGGTCCTCTCTCCTCTCACGCGCGTTTCTGTGCCCTTTTTGAGCTTGACGTGGAAGATTGCTGTTGACCTGCACCGTTCTAAACCTCATATTTCATTGGTTCCCTTTAATCCGCACTTCCCTTGCTTTCAGGGATGGGCCCGGCATTGTTATGACACAATCTCTATTGTTTTCTCAGCTAATCACAAACAATCTTTCAATTTGGTGCAGATCGCCCCGTACTTGGATTGATATGAGAAGAAAATGTCGTTCAAATGCTTTGGATTTCTGAAGATGATTAGGACCCGACAGAGTCTTTCATTTTGTCTAGCTTTAAGTTGACATGCGCTAAGAGAAAGGAACGAGTTTCAGCCCGATTCTTTAATTCACTCGCGAGTGTTACCGTTAATACTGACAACTTTTGCAAAGGTTTTTGGTTGATTTTAACCGAAGAATTTTTTTTGGAATCTCCACTTATACAAGCCACCACAGGAGCTGAAACTTGGTGCTCGAATGATATATTATTACGTTCATTTCTCACCATCTCATCAAACTCGTTGGACTGTTTAGTTACCTATGTATACGTTTGTAAAGTTTTTTTTTAACTGACTAACCGCAAAGACGAGAACATTGAGAATGTTCTAAGTGACTGAAAATCATCAGTACTAACGGATTTTGCATTAACTAAAATGCCAATTTGCCTCACTAGCCCGGGGTAACAAAAAATTAAAGTCACTGAAACTGATTTTTAAAACTCTTTTGCAGAATACATAGAAAATTCACATTTAAGTCATTAAAATAATTCTCTTACAGTAAAAGTTCAGATATTTTGCCAATTTCACGCCTTTTTTCACTTGACGCCCTAGACCGGATAAATAACCGTGCGAAGTTAAAACATAGTTTAAGAGAGCCGAGAAACCGCTACAAAGATATATAAATTATATACCTTTCAGAATATGCTCAATTTGTTGAAATCTCTCGTCTGGAATGCCAACCAAGTTGTTTATCGCTGCAGTAGCTGAGATGAAAAGTAAAACTGTCAATAGAATCTTCATCTCTCTATCTCTTTGTTGTCAAGCCGTCTCCTGAACCAAGATGCAACTGCAGAATATTGCAAGCTAGCTAAGTCTTTTGAAGCCTATATCTGCATTTAATTACGTAATTATTCACACTTTTATTAATACCTATTGTACACGTCCTGTCAGTGAATGAAAATAACTTCTATTGTATTTTATGAACAAAAAAGACTTTTTTCCGTATTAGTGCAATGAATTGTCACTGAAAATTGATTTGAGTTATGTATGAACCGAAAAGTGGTCTTTTTTGGTTTGCATTACACAGCAAGACTTTATTTTGTACATTCCCTAGTCGAATTTTTTTTAACTTTATTACATTACATTCTTTAGTTTTATGCTATCTCTCGAAATTAAATAACTATTCAGAGGATTTAAAGTGAAAAAGTGACATGTGTTTGATAATTCATTGATGCTGATGCATTGAAAAAAATAAAATTCTTGTGTTGCTTAAGCCGTTCTCAGGGGTATTACGCAACAACAGTTAAAGTTCCAGTTCAGGTCGTCATTAATGGCAAAATTTACTCCAACCAATTTCGAGTCACTTTTTGATTACTGAGTTCTCGGCAAACGAGAGCGCTGTAAAGTACTGCTGAACTCTTGGTCGCGCAAATTATTTTATCGTCCTCCACTGTCTCTAAAAAAATGCCTTGATATGCATACCAAAAAAAGACGAATTTTTATCAGTTATTCTTGTTTTATACCTCCATGACATTTGCTGTATGATAAAAAAGCAAAAGTGCTCGCTGCGGTATTTTATTTTCTAAGGTGAAAGATTATTCGGAGCGCCTTAGACATTTCACCATGATTTCATGGTTTATTGGCATTTAAATGAAAGTCAAGCAATTCTTTGCTAATGGTCTTCTCTTATAACGTAATTTTCAATACCTTCATGAGGTCCCAAATCATGTAATGGTGTGGGAACGTCAAGTAGTTTTCATGGCTCATTTGCATCTCATTAAACAACAAAAGATTTTAAACACAGCCCATTTCTTGTATACCGTGTTGTTCGAAGCTCTTTAATTTTCCGCATTCCCGCGCCGTAAGACTCGTCTAAGCTAAAAGCCATGGAATAAACTAAAAACACTCTAATGGTTAATTTTCCTCATTCCGCATCTCACACAGCCTAATTAAGCTGAGCTCTCGTCGAGAGTCATTCATTTTTGTAACAGTTCCTCGTTGTAAATGAACTTTCATTCCCATACCTCAGGACTCATGTGGCTTAACAGCCATTAAATAACCCAAAGCACATCTTCTGCAGCAAACGTCTCTCAAAAAGAAGAAGTTTAAGGTATTTTATTAGATTTATACATCTTTAATATTCAACTAAATTGCTCAAAACAACTGAGATGAAGAACTTAATGTAGAAATCTCTAAGAACAAGTTTTAAAATTTCCTTTTGTCTTGTCTTATTATTGCCAGCAAAAACAAAGCCGGACAAATATTTTAAGTTCGGCTTAACTGTCTTTCACTCATAAAAAAGAATATGGCGTCAAATAACAACTAGTGGCTTTTAAAATACACCAAGTTGTGTTTTTCGGAGTCACAACAATAGGTAGATGACATAATTCTCTTGAGTATTATGTCATATATAAATCGCATGGAGTAGTCAACTAAGTCCCCTTCAAGGGAAAAATATGGAGTCATTTTCAACAAAAGAATCACAATAAAACTAAATGCCAGTTTAATTAAATGTTCTTATCGTTTAAAAGTAACACTCTATGGTGACCCATCGTATCCAAATGAACAGAAATCTTTTCAATATTTCTTTTTACGTCTTTTTTTTTTGTTTATTATTACCCGGGTTGCGCCCATACAACTGCCATAAGCTGTGAATTAGCATTCTCTGCCCGAGAAACCCTTCCTGCTATAAAACTTTTCTTTTCCTTTCTTGCAAATTCGTAATTTGAACGAGCTTTTTAGCTCACTGGACGTTTATGCGTGGGCAACTAAGCAATTGATTGATTTGCTCTGGTTCGTAATGAGAGAAACCAAAGCAGTTAGAAGGTCAGAGAAGAGAACTGGAAAAACTATAACCTGTCTTTCGCATTATAATATACAAGTGCAATAGGTCTTAGCACAGTTTTCGACGCCATCTTGACGAGTAGGCAACCGCGTGAGAAGTTACAGTTTTTGTATGAGAATCCAATGTCGAATAATTTCAGTAAAACGGCTGTTCTGGAAAAAATATGAACTGTAAACTAAAGCAACACAGCAAAGGATTTGCAAAAAGTTCTTAGATTAAAGTAATACAGGCATGACATAATTCCCCTAGGTATTATGTCAGTAACTTTAGATTACTTTTTTTTTTTTCGCCTACATCTTAGTTCAATCCTATCAGCTCGGAGCGGCGCCTTTACTCTCCCGCCGATAACAAAGCAATAGAAATAATTAAATCAGCTCTTGTTCAAAACAAAATTTAATTACTGTACGAACATCTGTATTCATGTGAAGGTATGCGATTCTTTTAGTGTCTAAAGTACCAAAAACCCCTAGCACACTAATGCTAAGAGTGATGTAATCAGGAAATGCTCTTGGGATTTCGATGTTTTTTTTTTTCTATTGAGTAAAATAATGATTGAGAATGTTTTGTCCTTCAAATTGTCACTCAGTTTTTTTCATTTCATGAGAAATTGTAAAAAACTAGAAAATAAAAACCTATTTGGAGGAACCTTGTGTATTAACCTGATCATTAACGCCAAAACTGGGCCAAAAGATGTTGGTGATGTGAACGAGATTTACAAAAACGAAAATGACAGCGTTTTTAGCAAAGGTCGGGCCAAAATACACTGAAAATACCGCAGTTAACGGAGTGCGGTAAATTTGAGTTTTGACAGCTGTCTTTGTAATATATATGTATTTTTCGCCTTTTTTGAGCTGTGCAAAATTTTAAAACTTGAGAGAAATAGAATTTCATCGTTCTAAACTGAGAGACCAAAAGAGACGTCCTATTAATTTATTAAGTCACGGTCAGTGACCCAAAAAACAAAAGATTGCACGCCGTCAAAACTCTCAATTGATATAATTATAGCACCATTATTTTCATGTTTGATTTTTTCCGCTTTCATAGCCAGATTTCTCTAGCTGTAATTAGTGTTCGTATTAATGAATGATTTGTAATCGTCAGTAAAAATGAGTTCAACTACTGTAACTCTATCGAATTGCAGATTTTTGAAAAAAAAAAAAAGTAGGAAAGAAATTGGACGAATGCGTGGCGGTATAAATATATTAGCTGTCCTTGAAAACTTAAGAAGGCCGTTTTGCTAAATTTTCCTTCTCTTTGTATTTTTCCAACAATGGGTTAAATCCCTCTTAGTGTTAAAATTACGTAAGTACATTTAATTACTCGCATAAAACGTGAAGCTGAATAGACCTTGTCACGTTTTTCGACGCCATCTTGACGAATAGGCAAACGCGTGAGAAATTACAGTGTTTGTATGAGAATCTAATGTCGAATAATTTCCGTAAACGGCTGTTTTAGAAAAAAATATGAACTGTAAACTAAAGCTACGCAGCAAAGGATTTTAACAACATATTTTGGGGGCCGTTGCTGTGCTTAAATTTCTCCAGAAGTTTGCTTTAGACTTTTTTTTTACCGGAAAAGTTTTACAGACAAATGTATAGAAAATTTTTAAAAAAGGTTCTAGGTCTTCTAGCGCATGTAACACCCTCAATTTTTTTCAGTAGAATCCTTAAGAGTGAAGCTTTAGTTTACAGTTCATATATTTTTTAAAACAGCCGTTTTATGGAAATTATTTGACATGAGATTCTCATACAAACACTGTAAATTCTCACGGGTTTGCCTACTCGTCAAGATGGTGTCGAAAACCGTGACAAGGTCTATAAATTGCTTTCCAGTTCTCAGGGCTCAGTATCAGTAATCGTGTTTGCTTGATGAAGAGTATGAAGATCACAGCTTGCCTCCTATTCTACCAGTTTTTGGTAGCAATCGATTCTTTCTCGCCTTTGAGTGACCAGACTGCTGTAAAGCTAGCAGAGCTGAAAAAAGACGGCAGAACAGGTAAGTGTAAACACCATGCAGTCAGTTATTTAATGAATAGTAAAACGCTTTTATATTTAGCTAACATTGTTGGAGTAAACTGAAAAAAACTATGAAGATCCGGATCGTTTGGTTAATTTTTGATCCTAAACAGAATGGTGGCGAAAAAATTCGGGTGTATTTACTGTAGACGATGAATGCGGATTTTTATTTTGTTTATTTATTATCATTTTTCTTTAGAACTGACTAAAACTTTTATGGGAATTTATTGCCTTACCGGTATTTAATGAAGAGTATTTAAAAAATACTATTCTAATCAGAAAATTACGATAAGTTATTAAACAATCAAATCTGGATCGTGATACTTTTGTCTTGTTGTTGTCAGTTGCTTTGTTATCTTAGACTAGCTCGAACAAAAATAACTCAAAATAACAGTAAAATTAGACATGCCAAAGAAATTTATTTTATGACTGACTTTATCAATTTCTTATATGCTTCTCAGGTCAACATAGTGTAATCCATTTTAAAACCCCGCGACGATTACATGAATTCAACCAATTTGGATTTTATTGGGCTTATAAATATAATTTCAGCAACATTACTAACATTAGGCTGCATTTTTGCAACTTTGACGTGCATCAGTCTTTAAGTATTTTTCATACTTTAGACTACGGTTTTACAGACTAGATTGACTAGACTACGCCGCGAAAAAGGATGAAAAGTTGTTATAAAAACCATAATTTTTTTAGCGGAAAAGAAAAAATCCTGGACATTAATATAAAATTTATTATCAACCAAGTTCGTCTACAGAAAGGATTTCCTTCGAAAATTGTTCCTCCTGTAAGCAGAATAAAAAGACTTACTTTTGCATCTATACTCGCTCGAGCCGCGCGTGTCTCTCCCCCTATTCTTTGTGGTCTGCTCTTGCTCGTTACTCGCACGACAGGTTCCCGCGTTGCGTTAGAGTTAAAAGCTTTAACTT